CCCAACCCCAACCCCAACCCCAACCCCAACCCCAACCCCAACCCCAACCCCAACCCCAACCCCAACCCCAACCCCAACCCCAACCCCAACCCCAACCCCAACCCCAACCCCAACCCCAACCCCAACCCCAACCCCAACCCCAACCCCAACCCCAACCCCAACCCCAACCCCAACCCCAACCCCCAACCCCAACCCCAACCCCAACCCCAACCCCAACCCCAACCCCAACCCCAACCCCAACCCCAACCCCAACCCCAACCCCAACCCCAACCCCAACCCCAACCCCAACCCCAACCCCAACCCCAACCCCAACCCCAACCCCTGTTTTTATTTACATTATTTTTTATTTACAATAAAACTTAGAAAAATTTGTATTCATAATTAAAGATAGTTTAAAAGAATTAAATATGATTAAATTTAAATTTCATAAATTATTTAATTAATTCATATATGAAATAGCAAATAACACTTTAAATATAGTTGAAAGTTTTGAAAATACTTTTGAAATTATATAATATACTGTTTTTTAAAATTTTATAAGACAATACAAATAAATTTTAATTGGGAAAAAGTTTTATTCTTGAAATATTATATTTTATCATTAATACAAACTAGTGGTTTTATTTATTTAATTAAGAGACCTTTGTTAATTATTATTAAAGGCATCTAAAGCATTCATTAAAGGAGTTTATTTTTATTAAATTTATTATAAATCAGTTGTTCCTTCAATCGAAAAGTAGTTAGCTCTTTTAATAACTTCATTAATTATTGGGTCTTCAAATTTCAACTCATTTAAATAGGCTTTAAACTATCTTAAACTCTTTTTTGCTATTAATTATAAGAGATGGTCTTCTATCCAAGATGGAAGTTGATTTATTTATTTTACACCAAAACTTTCAATTTCATCTAGCAATTCTGTAATTACATAAATCATCGTTTTTGGTTCATCGTTAGCTTCTGCTATTTTAATCAAATTATCAAAGCAATTAAAGCAATAGTTTTTCTTCAATACTTCTCTCAAACCTTTTTAAGCTAATGGATAAAATTTTAATCTCATAGCTAATTATGAGCGAAGAAGCCAAACTTCAGCTGTAAAATCTAATTAACTAATTTATACCTCTAGATTACTAATGTCAATATTATTTTGCTTTTTATATTTAAGTCTTTCCTGTTGGCTGAGGAGCTCTTCTCTAATTTTATCTTCATTTTACCATTTTATTAAATAATTGAGATCTTCATATAAGCTTTAGAATACTCCATTAAATGTTTTATGTATTGGCCTCTTTTAAGGATAAGGGAGCAAATCATTAATACTTGGTTTAATTTAAGCAGATACTTTCTTTCTCTACTTACCAAAAGCAACAGGTATATTGGCACTATTAGAAATATTGCTTGAAAGCAGCTTGTTTGAAATATTTAAATTTTGTACGCGTTCTGATTCAGCTGAATCTTCAGTTAATTCTGTAATGTGGCTATTCTTTTCAAACTTTGGATTATTTTATGCTTTTTACTACTTTTAGTTAATTAAATGCAATTTTCTTTAAATATTCTTTTATATTTAAGGGTCTTTTATATTAGCCATTCCATAGTTTTTTTATTTGCTGTCTTCATTGTCATCTTTTAAAAACTAAGGGAGCTATTCTTCATCGTCAGAGAAATCAGTTCCATCATATTCTGGAGGGAATTGCTAAATTGCCTACTACTGTTAAATATTAGTTTAGCGATTTGATCCTTATGAATTTGTAGCCACCTAATCTTCACCTTTATTAGAAGCTTTATGGCTGTTTTAACTATCTTATGAAGGATGAGATTTAGAACCTTATGGTCCAGCGCCTTAATGCATCGGATTTATAGCTTATTAATGAGGACTGCCTTAATTTTAGTGTAAGATATTGAAAGGAAAATCATTAGATCTATCATAAATTTAGGTAAAATTATCTTAATTGATCATAAATATGTTTGTTCGAAGTTTAATCATGTTTTCCCATCCTATTTTTTTCTCCATTTCAATTAAAAGCTGATAAATCTTAAACTCATCCTCACAAAACTCTGAGGATTGTAATTTTGTTAGACTATCAATTTATTCTAAGTTTTATGGGGCGATTTTTTATTTATCATTTTAATTCTATTTTTACCTCAATAGCAAAGGAATGTTATTATTTATTACATAAATGTTGTTAAAAGAGCTTATAGTACCCCATTCCTTTGGCTGAGTTAGCTATTTATTACTTTTATTATTTTCGCATAGCATAGAATTAGTGCATTATTTATCTGGGAAATGCTCTTAGCGTAGAGAAATCTTAGCATATTTAGATGCCTGATTAAGAGCTACAAAACAATATTCAAAATTTTCCATTTTGTAAAAAATTTCAGAAAGTAAAAACCAAACATCGAAGCTGGTGCTGTGAATTCCTACTAAAAAGTTAGTAATACGGTAAGAATCTTCATACTTTCCGCAAGCATATAGATTTCTAGCTTATTAATATAATAATAAAGGAGAATCTGGTTGCTATATAAGATAATTTGCAATTAATTTTAATCCATCAGGGTATTATTTCATTTAAATATACAATTAATTTAAATGTAAAATCATTTTAGGATTTTCATGTACATTTTCAATTAAAAAATTTAATGCTATCTAGTACATTCTCTTTCTTGTCAAATATTCTACCAGTAAATAAAGCGATTTTGAGCCTCTGTATTCAAAATGCTTTTCAACTTCTTCCTAATTTTCATAAGGTAAGTCTATTTCTTTTACAACATTGCTAAATGCCTTGAGATATTCCTGTAAATGATCCAAAGTTTAAAATTCTTAAAAGTACTTGCCTGCTGGAACATCTTACTAATGCATACCTTTTTAGTGATGAATAAATTAAAATCTATAAATTATAATTATTTTTTTAAATTGTTAATAATTTATTTTAGTATATTTCAAAATATTTTTGCAAAGAAAATATTTTTTTAAATTAGCTTTAAGAATTTTAAATTTAAAGCTTCAAATTTTATTTCTATGCAATAATAGTTGTAACTCTATTTACTTATAAAAATTTTTATTAGATTATTAACATGTTTATAATAAAGTAGATTGAACTTAACTTATCGTTAGAATGATTTAGTTAAAAAATAAAAAAGAGTACTTTAAATTAGATTTTGTGATATTTAGTTAAAAAATACCATTTTTTAATTTTATAGAACTCGCATAAATAATGTAAAATAAACAAATAAATTACTTCTCAATCCAGAACTCACCATGGCTCTTTCCCAGAGCTAATCTGTAATTGTTACTAGTTCGCCATCAATTTTAAAACCATACAATTTCATAGTTCCTGGAATGGTGATTTCAATATGAATATCTATCCTTGAAAATGAGTCAAAAATGCAAAAATAACCTTTGACAATTTTCCACTCTCCTCTTTTTAATAAAGTCTATTTTTCTTCTTCCATATTCTTTATCATTAGATTAATATATGCTGAAACAGAGGCAGGAGTGGAGAGGTTTATACCGTGCACATAATGATATGTTCCTATTTATATCTATTCTTTGCTTATGGGAAGAATAGAGCCGCTTTAATACTTTTTTGAAAGATAACAGAGATCAGGTGGACCTAATGTAGAATACTACTTCATGCATTTAATCCTATTTCTTAATATTTCAACCTAATCTTATTGATTCTCTATGATTTCAAACACATCTTTTATTGTACTACCTTAAGGAAATTAATTTTTCATTCAAAATTTACTTTTTTTTTGTAAAATTTCAAAAAAATAAATAATTAATAAATTGAATTTTATAATTTTTAGAATTATATTAATTTTTTAATGCATCTTTTTTCATGAATTTTTATTTTTTTTTATTGTTAAAAACATAGAATAGAATTTTTTAGTAAGCAAAAAGACTAAATATTTCATAAAATCAGTTTAAAATAAAATAAAATATTCAACTACTAAATCTATGTTCTATTTCATTTCATATTAGCGGTTTTTTGTGTATTGTTAAAACCAATCAAATTTAACAAAAAATATATATAGATAGAGTCATTTCCTCTATGAATATAAATGCTTTAAAAAATATTTCAATCAAATATATTAAGATATTCTGATCAATTATTTTAATAAAAAAAATTTATAAGTAGATTAAACAAAATGGAAGATTTTGACTAAAGTTGTTAAGTTCAAGAAATATTGGAATACTAAGAGCTTTATAAGCTTACCAAAGGAAAAATAAACCCAATTAGCAATAATCTTAAAATAGATTTATCGTAATCAATAAAATTATATTACTTAAACAGCGTAATAGTAAAAGGATTGTAAATAATTTATAAATAGTGGATTAACCATTTCAAGAGAAAATATTCAAAATTTTTGGCTTATTTTGAAGAACCTTCCAAAGGAAACTACAGAACTGGATGTAACTTAAAGGTAAATTTAAACATTTTGTTTTTATGGATGTATCTTATTTTATTTATTTGTGATAAATATTTTTTTAATGCGTATAGAGACCTTATTTTATAGAAGGAGATGAGATTTGATACCACTCCATTACTTAATTTGGCTGATTTACCTAAATAAATAAAAAAAATTTACTACTTAATAGGGTAAAAAAATATTAATCATCATTTTTCAAAATAAATTATTGAAGTTTAGTTTTTTAAGATAATAATTTTATTTAACTTATCATTTTATTTATTAAATAGATTTGCTTAAATTTATTAATGCATAAATATCGAGAAGTACTTAGAATAAATAGCTAAGTTGCCTAAATTTATAAATTAATTTTAAATAAATATTTAGTAAGCAAATTAACTTTTAATATAAATTTTAATATTATTTCTTTTAGACAAGATTAGGGAATTGTTTTTTTCATCTCATTAGATAACTAAGAATTAGAAGTAATTATTAAGTATAACACTTTACTTTTATTCTTATTCAAATGCCGTATTAAATATTTTATTCTATTAGTGTAAATGAAAGAAAAGAAAGATATGGTCTGCTTACGAAAAGCTTTAAAGAAATATTTGAAAATTTTGGAGATAAATTCAATCAATTTTGTCTTAATATTAAGTAGAAGAAATAAATTATAATTTAAATTTGCTTAAGTTTTAAAATACAAAAAAATTTTTTTGTTAAAGGAATAATCAAGATGACGAATATACAGAATATACCTAAATATACGAAGCTCTGTAATATTTACCAAAAAATTTAAGGTCCATTGAAATAGTTAATGAGTAAATAACTAACAAAGTAATGATTTAATTATTAATGTTTTTATTTATTAAAGTATCTAGGAGACTTAGGAATCTAATCAAATTTTAGCAAATTCGTTGAAAGGAATCTCCTAATCAGTCTAAAGAATATATTTTTAGTAATAATAATTTTTTTTTTTTTTAAATTAATAACTCAAATTTTATATTAAAGATAAAATGGAATACTGAATAACCATATTTGCTCACTATAATAATTTCCATAAGCAAAAACAATTATTTAAAATAGAAATTATAATATTAATGAATAATACGACGATTATAAATTCTAATTATTGAAGAGTTAATTCTTTTTAAATATGATGTAATAAAAAATATTAAGTATTGATAAATATTAATTTTTAAATTTTTTATAGAGGAGAAGATTTGTAATAAAATGAAATAAATAATGTTATACCAAATTTAAAAGAAGTATTTTTAAATAAATCAATTAAAGATATTTTCTTAAAATTCAAAAATCTATCGGAATTGACAATAAATAATTGGTAATAGCTACTTTAGCAATTTGAGTTCCTAAATTCTCGTTTAAAAAATTTAAATGTATCTCTAAAGTAATTAAATATTAATTAATTATTAAATAAAAAATAAATGTTTTTAAAATTATTTAGTCAAACCAACAATGGCTTAGATCCACAAAATAATGACTTTTCATAGACATTATTCTCAAGAATATAAAATTTACCCAGAAAATTAGAGTCTCTAAAACTTAAATTAACTAACACAAATTTTTTAGATACTTCTTTTTAGCTATTTTCCAACAATATTTAGAATTTGCCTGGGACATTGAAATATTTTAAGTTAAAAATTGGGTAAAAAAACATATTTTAGCTTTATTTAAGCTAATTTTTTATAAAAAAAGGAACTACAATCAAAGGAATATAAATTATGATCTATTATTTTAGAATATAAAGCAGCTACCGAATTCTTTAACAGAGTTTCATATAATTATCTAACATCCGTAATTTATTTATTTATATTTTATTTTTTAATTATTTCTTGATATAATTATTTATCATTACACATATTTTCTGGATCATAGAAGAATCAATTATTTCATTTATATTTATATTGATTTTCTAATTAATTTAATTCATTAGATAATAAGCATTTAATTAGGCAGAGCATTTCAAAAATTGTATAGGAATTTTCACCAAAGATAGGAAAATATAAAATTTTACCATAAAAACTTAATCGTAAATAATTATAAAATAAAAAGTTTGTTTTTAATACATTTTGAATATTAAAAATAGACATATAATATTAAGGGATATATTTAATTCAAAAACTTTACAAGTTATACTATCTGATGTGAGAAATTTAAATAATATTTTTAATTAATTTGATGATCAGTCTTTTTATTTAGAAGGAGTCGATTCGCTTTAATTAAAAATTAATCTTGTTTAGACGTAAAATATTGAATAAAATTAAAATTATTGAGAAAATTAAAATAGATTTCCTAATGGTAATGAGTGTGAATAGTTAGGAAATTAGCTAAAAAATATAAGCAAACAATTTTAGGAAGTTAAGATATAGATAGGGTAAAGTTTTTATTAAAAATGCTATGATGAAAATATTTAATTTACTAATTTAGATAAGAGTTTCCATTTGGTCAAAATTAAGAGTCACTAATCATGTATTTCAAATTAGCAGATTAAAATTTCTTGAGAAAAGTATTTGAAATCTAAAACTCGAATTATTAAACGATATTTTTATAAACTGATAAAAAATATTTTTATAATATGTAAATTAGAGATTCGTAATAATAATAATACTAAAAACTTCATCTTTTTATTTTAATTAGGAAATTTCTAACTAACTATAATATATTAAATGATAATATATTTAATGAGCTTGATTAATTCTTAGGAACTGAAGATTATCAATACGAAAATTTAACACTATAATTTTAGTATTAATAATATATTTTATTTAATAATAAAAACTTTAAATTTTTAATTAATAAATAGAGAAATGAGAAATATTGATGGCATTATGAAGTTCAAAGAAATACATAAATTTATTCATCCAAAACTCAAAGAATTTGACTTACATTATTAGTAATTTGTTCAAATCTTTATTAACTAAAATATTTAATTTTTAAATAAAATTTAATAATTACCATAAATTTATTTCAGAAAACCTTAAAATGTTGATTTTAAAAATACTTTAAAGCAAAATTAAACAATTAAAATAAAATTAAAAATATAAAAATGCAATTTCATTAAAGAATATTTAATAGACAATATATAAATTTCTAATGAATAAAATTAGATAATGCAATATATCAGACTCTGATTTACCATTTTCAATTTAAGCTCTTGGAGAGAGTTTATAATCTAGCAATATTGAAATATTTAATTTGAACGTTTAAAGCAACTCTAAAATTCATAATAAATTCTTAACTAATGTATTTAGCAGAATATATTTGTGGGAAAGTTTAAAATCTTTGAATTTATATTTACCATCCACAAACATGAAATCAAAAGGGCTAAGTTAATTTTCAAAAATCATTTAAGGTAGACTTCCTAAATTAGAGAAATTTTAATTAGATCTAAGGTAAATTTAATGTTTACTAATTAGCTTGAATTTATAAAATTTATTTTAAAAAAGTAAAACAGAATCATCTTACAAATTACTCTCTTCATCTGTTGCTCATCTAATTTAAGCATTTAATTGTAATGTATGCCCTAAATTGGAGAGTTTTGAATTATCCATTAATGAAATGTAATAAGATAGGAAGATTAATAATATCTTATTTTATATATTTATATTTTAAAAAGGAAAAATAAATACGTTAAGAAAGATTTGAAAGATATTGGATATTCAATAACTAAATTATCATAGACTATGAAGTGTATTTTTCTAAATCTAAAGTAAAATCTTTATTAGTGGTATAAATTATAAATTAAAACATATTTTTAATATACAAGAAATATGATTGAACAATAAGGCAAAGGGCTCAAATATTTGGTTAAATCTATTGCTACTTTAAGAAATTTAGAAAAAGTAGATTTAGGTTGTTCATGCCATGATTAAATTTACTAAGAGTCTGTATTTTTTTTTGCAGTAAAAATTCCTAAATATTTTGACTTCAATAAATTAAGGGAGTTAATAATAACTTTTGAGTAATTTATTGCTTCAATTCATATATACTTTATTAATATTTTAAATTAATTATTTAGCGTTAAAGATAATATAGACATAGATTAAAATAAGCTCCTCTTAAAATTAATTAAATAACTTAAATAAACTGATTTAACTAGATGCTTCTGTGATATTTATATTTATAATATGACTATTGCTATTGGAGGATTTGAAGAAGCCTATTTTGATCTAAAAAAATGCACTATTTCTAAGGAAACATATGATATACTTACTAAATTTATTTTTGATCTCCCTCCAAATATACAACTTCCTGAAGATTTAAGTTTAGTTCCTATGTATGATTATATATAAACAAACAACAATTAAAGAATTAATCACCAAAATAGTGATAGTAGTGATGATAGTGAAGAAGATGAAAGTGATATTTTAGAATTAGATTAATTTGTTGATTTTTGATAAATAAATTTTTTATTATTTAAATTGAGAATTTTTTTAGAATTAATTATTTAAAATATATAATTTTATTGAAATTAAAATTTTTAATAATTAATATTGTAAATAAATATTGATCTGTATAAAGTAACTTTAAAGGTGATCTTTTTTTAAGAGATGAAATATTTAGATAGATAAAAATATATTTTTATGATATAAAGCATACAAAAGAGATCAATTGAAATTTTATTATAAATTATGAAACAGTGTTTGTAAATAATTAATTAATATATTTATTTTTTTTGAAATCAAAATTTATTCTTTTCTAATTTTATCAAATTATATATGGCTATGCCTTTTGAGAGAAATTTGTTTGAAAAGAATTATGGAATTACCTTATTTTAGAAAATTTAGACCCTATTTTTTACATTATAAAAATAAATTTTAATTACATATTTTTATTTTAAAATTTAATTTCACTTAAAAAAAAAATTTAATAAATCATATTTATTTTTACATGAATTGTTTTCCAGAATTATAAAAAACTGATAAATAAATTATGAAATAGAAGAAGAAAAAATAAACCACTTTTATCAATTTTTTGATTGATGATAGGTTATTCTGTATTGTATGTAAAATCTTTAAATAAAATAAATTAATTTAATATTGATATTTACCAGTCTAGTTAAAAGAAATAGGAGAAAAAAGTTGCTTATTATCGTTAGTCCTTGGAGTTAAAGAGCTAATATTTCTATTTCTTTATTAGATTCTAAAAATTAAAAATGAATTTAATTAATTAAATTGAAAAAATAAAGTCAATACTCATTTTATAAGGTCTGGGTATTTGTAGTGTGTAAGCTTCTCTATCTTTTTCTCGTATTTTATATTTAATTTTCTTGTTATTATGATAAATTTATTGGGCGAAGAGATTTTAACTAAAATTTGTTTGGAAGTGGGGCAAAAGATTTAAAATTAAGAGGAAATTTTGAATGAGAAATTTATTATTCTTCTCCTTAAGAGTTTTATTTTGCCTGCTCAAATGCAAGCTGCTATTACTACTGGTTAATAAACTTAAAATCTGTTAATGGAGTACTCACATCTTTAGAATAATCATCCCCTTCCATCGCTCTCTTAAGCTTATAGGAATTTATGTTATCAGTTTCTATATAGTAAAGAAAGCAATTAGAATATTGAGCTTCTTATAACCCTCCGAAAAAGAAAATTTATGAACCTAAAGCACAACTAGCATGTCCAGAACGATATACGTTATCTAAATACTCAAAATTAATTTAAACCCATGTTTTTGTTGAGATTTTGAATATCCAAAGATCATTGTAATGCACATATGCTAATCTATTTTGAGTTTCTCCAATTCCTCCAAAAATAACTAAACAATTCAAAGCTTCTATATAATCCATAGAATGATCAAATCTTGCAGGAGGTTGCTTGCCAATAGTTTAAATATTCTACCACTCACTTAACTCTTCTTTTGCTTTTTTTATATTATCAATTAAATAAACCTTCAACTAACTTCATTTTAATTTACATGAACTGTTTTCTTTGACAAACTTCAACACCATCATTTAAGAATATAATTTTCCTTTTCTGTTTTTCCCTCCATAACAGTAAATGCCCTCGTCGTTATACTTTTTAAATTTATTAATTGAATTAATTTTTACATTTATTATCTAATTTGTTATTTAAAATTCTATTAAGTGCTATTTATTACTTTTAATCTATCAATAATAAGGCTTTGCTTTTTTTTGTTTTTCATCTGGTTTTTTGAAATAAAAACTGCCACTATTTTATGAAATGCAATGCCATCGTGAAAGATTGAATCAAATTAGTATGTTTTCCATCTGCCTAAATCTAAATTTTTATGATAAAAAGAAAAATAAAAGTTAGAGTGTAACTTTTTTTTAAAAGTGTTAGGAAAAACCTAAGTTTAATGTCTATATATCGGATAAATATCTATCGTTATTTGAAACTCCTCCTAGTGTGATTAAAAGATTTTCTTTAACAACACTGCTATGATTTCTTCTCTATTCAGGTATAGATCCAAAACCTACTACTTAAGACCACTCACATTTTAAAACATCAAAGCTCCAAACATCGCTAAAACAGTGTCTTTATTTTAGTTTAGAATTGAATTAACTTTATCCTCCATATATAATTATAAAATTATCTTTGTATGTTACTGCAGTATGACCAAACATCCCTTTGTGGGGATAGTATTCACTTTTAAACTCCAGTTTTTTCCATTATTTAGAGACTAATATAATAAATAAAGAAATATTATTTACTCAGCATTAAGGAAAAATACCTAAATCAAACTGATCTACTTCTTTTCTTATCTCTTCTCCTAAACCTCCATAAAGATACAAATTACCGTTTAAATAATTTAAAGAAGCTCCTTCCCTAAATGCAGGAGAGTAGGCAGAATTAAAATCAACTTTCAAGCAAAAAAAGTGGTAGTTCTCTTACTCATCTTTTTATAAAATTATTATAAGAAATAAAGATCTTTCATTTGGTATTTATTACTTTGGTTTTATTCAGCTTTAATCTAAGTATTTTCATTACTTAAATTATCTTAAAATCCTTAATCTAATTCCTATTATTAGATATTTATATTCCTCTTAGGACTACCCTCTGCATTTTGTTTTAGTTTAGAAAAATCAGTGTATACTAATTCCTCATCTGCAAAAATAAAATTGTTAGATTTTTTATAGCTCCTGATTTTAGTTCTTAAACTTTGAGTTCTTTTTTCTATTTCCTAAGCCTAAGATAAAGAATAATTATCATATTTTTGTTAAAAAATTTGAAAATTTTATTTGTTATTAGAAAGTTGTTTTACTTCTTTAAATATTTTTTCCATGTTAGCTTTTTAAAAAACATTCAAGTTTTAACTAATTGATCGCATTTCTTTTTTATTATGCTGAAGCTGCACCTACAGCTTCTCCTTTTCATTTTACAATTTTAACAAATCATTTAATTCTGCATTTTCTGTAAGCTCTTTTTTAAAAGAAAAGAAGAAACTTTTTTGGTTATTTGTAAAATAATTCTAAGTAGATTTAGAAAATAGAAATGAAGTAGCAGTTAAATTGAATTCCTGAAACCTATTTGTAAATTTTATTTTAAAAATTTATATAATTCTATAAATTTATATTTTACGCAGGAGATTTTAAACTTCTTGCAAAGTTATCTTGAAGCGTATTTGTCATAGAGCTCTCAGACGATTAAATTCTAATTTACTTCAGTTGCCTAATATCAACTTAAGATTTTTGCTTAGAATCTATTTAGAATTTTTATTATTGATAGTTAGTTCAGTTATTAAGTATAAGCTAATTTTTACTAGATCTATTGAGCGTATTGCTCATTAGGTGTTCAATCTCAAGTTTATATATTTCAATATAATTTCTATATTAACTTATAATTTTTTTTTCTTTAAGAAGTCAATTATCTTTTTATTATTAGACAAGTAGAATTTTGGATTATGCTCAATTATATTTAATTAATTAATTAATGAGTTAGTTTTTAGGCATATAATTTAATAGGATTATTCTACTTAAAAAACATGCTAGAAGTTTTAAAAAAATATAAGTAATATAATTAAATAAACATTTTTTTCATAAAATGCACTTATTTTGTTTGTGCTTCAATCTGAATTATAATTATATTCGTTTATTTTTAAAAATTTTTAAATTGATTTAATAAACATTTTTTATTATTTAAAAATCCTACCTTAGCTTATTGATTAAAATGTTTAATTATAAAAAATTTATTTAAAAATAAACCATAAAAAATATGTGAATGTTATGAATATAAGTTAGACATACATGCATATTATAGAATAGTAACAAATAGTGGATGCTTAAAACTAATTTTAAATCTTAATAGGGATGAATAATTATCATATTTTATGTCTGTCTTTCATTCTATTATGATCCTATTTGCAGAATAGGTAGAAGCGACATGAATGATGTAAGTAGCATGTATATCTTATAAATTGTAAATGTTTTTTTTAGATTGGCATTGATATTATTAAACTTTCATATTATGAAATCATTAAAGAAAATATTTATATGATTATAGTGATAAAATTAAAATAGCCTTAATACATTATGTCAGTAAAAAGTATGATATTTTTAAGAACAATTAATTCAATTTAAATTATTTAATTTTTTATTTGTAAGTTTATTAAACCCCAATAAATCAATCAACGTTAATCATAATAGTTGTTATTATATTAAGGGGGGAATTATTGCTATTGAGAGTGATTGCTCATATTATTTTAAAAGTTATTAGGAGGAACCATAGGAATCACACCTCCATTTCTATTTTTATAATAAAAAAAAACATTTTAATTAATCTTTTAATTAATTTGATAAATTTCAAAATAATTCATATGCCTATTTTAAATATAATAATAAAATGGTTTGCTAAATGACTTATAAATGAAATTATTATTCTAAAAGGCATATAAAATAATCAATCAATCAATCAATCAATTTTGTATAAAAAAAGTATTTAGTTACTGAGGAGGAGGTTAGTAAGGGTAATATTAATTGGGTTATCCTTAGGGGTAATATGGCTATTGCACTTAGGGAGGATATTTTTGCTATTATTGAGAGTAACTAATGTGCTATTAATTAGGGTGAACAAACTATTGCTATTGTTATACTCTCTACTATTGTAAAGAGTAGTATGAGATTTCTTGGAGAGTCTCGAAAAACTCATTAAAGGTAATACTTTAGTCACCATTTTTGTCAAAAATTGTGAATGTGCAATTTAATTCTTCTTCAGTTAAATCTGGGTCAACCTTTTTTAAAAGCTTTGAGAACTCACTGATGTCCAACTGCTTATCATCTGATTTATCATACTTACTGAATAAATCTCCAAGATTTATGTTGTATTTTTAAATTGCAAATTGTAACTTCTTGATTGCATAATTTGCTCTTTCAACGGATTCCCTTCTGCTGTGACTCAAATTCTAATTCTAATTATTTAAGAAATTTTATGCAAATCCACTTTGCTTTTATTGGATTGGCATGGGGGCTTATTAACTAGCAGGAGAATTATTTCCTGAATTGCTAACTAAATTAGTTCCGGTTTATGTATTTTATCTATTTTAAGTAAAAATAAATATGAAATATCTTTAATAATTGATTTAATTAATTAATTAACAAATTTAAAATTAAGAAATAATCTAAACAAAATGAAAAGATGGATTGATTAATTTATTTATTATAAATTATTTTGGGTTTTTACTGATTTTTGTTATGTGAAATAGTAGAAAGAAATAAAAAATAATGAAATAAAAATCTATGTTTAATATTCGAAATATAAATATTACTATTTATTCCTCCTCTTTAGCGAAAACATAAATTTGAAAATAAAAATTATACTTTAAAATGTTATAAATTTAATATTTTTATAATTTTTAAAAATATATTTCCAAGAATTTGAAACTTTATTTGATTTATGAGTGGATGGATGGATGAATGAATGGATGATGGATGTAATTAATGAATGAATTTAAGTATGGGAGATAATAATGCTGTTATTTATTTTCATCAAAAGGAATTAAATTGGAGACTAATACATTTTACACACACTAGACTGACTAACTACATGTAGTACTTCCACTAACTAACTGAATGAAAATCAAGCGCAAATAAAAATATGCTTGCTTTAGAGTGCATTTTTTAAAATTATTAATTTTGAGTGAGGCTTGGTTAGTAATATTTATTTTCTTTATTATTTTCATGCTTATTCATTTTTTTACCTCGTTATGGCTTGAGTTGTTGGAACCTAGGCATTCATTTTTGTACTCATTACTACATCGTTATTTGAAAGCCACTTTGTAAATTCTTCAAAACTGATAGTGTTGTCTTTATCGTCATCAAATTTATTGAAAATGTATTCGATTTCCGATCTATCTAATGTATTATCAATGCTTTTCATTAACTTTGAAAATTCCTTCATTTCAAGTTTTGAATCGTGGGAGAAGTCGTACTTCTTGAAAAGATCTTCTAGATCGATACGATTCTTGTATATATTCTATCTCAACTCATTTATAATGTACTTAGCCTTATCTTCCATTTAATCGAATTGGCTAGTAAATTTCTAAAAATATCCTTAGAATACAGGATGTTTGTACACATCAGTCCATTCCATTCTATCCTTTTCATCTATTTTTAAGCATCTAGTTATGAAATCCTTGGAGAGATCAGAGACATTGTATGCAGGGTCGAACTCAAGAGGTTTTGTTTAAATGTTCTTTACTAGTTGGTATTATGAGTTAGCAGTGTAAGGAGTTTTTCCGTAAAGCATTTCATAAAAAATGAAAGCAAGTGACCATAAATCGCTCTTTGCTGTCTTTTGATTTTATTAAAATTTAAAAAATTTAACTTATTTCCAAAGCAATAAACATGTTTTTAATTTTATTATTTCATTTTTAAAAAATGATCTCCATTTATTTAGCTCGAATGAAAAATTAGATTTCTTTTTGCTTTTTAAAATTTTTACTATTCTATTTGATTTATATCACTATTTTTATCTAATATTAAATTGGCTAAATTAATAATTTATTATGCAATAAAATGTATAACAAGCAGCTTAAAAAATTTAATATTTGGTTTCGATTAAATTAAAAATAGGTGACTTAGTAAGAGCTAGCTAGCTTCATAGTTTTTTATAATATTTATAACCTACTGAAGAAATTTTTTAAATTAAAATTTGATAACAATATTAACTTTATTCATAATATATATTTATCATAAACTCACTATTAAAAATTTAAATATTCCTTTGTTGTTTGAATTTATTTTCTATATTTTTAAAAAAAATAGTTTCGTGCTTTGTTTTGCTTTTTTCATATTTGATGTAAAATAAATCAAAAAACCTTTTATTTGTTCAATACTTTAAAATGCTTATTGTTTGATCAAAGACCTTTGGATTTAAATTCAGAAAGGGAAATAATTATAAATGCTGTTTTTTAAAAGTTGATTGCCTATTGAGGTTAATTAGTTAGTTTTACTAATATTTTGCTTATTGCAAACTTTTATCTTTTGAAGTTTTTCTTTTATTTTTCCAATTATTAAAAACTAATAAAAACTAAACAAGACAAAATTTCAAAATTCAGCGAGGGATATTATAAATTTTTAAAAAGTATTGATGTAAGCTTGTTTGCTTCGTCTTAGTATCTTGTGAAGTACATTCAAAAATTGGAGCTGAAACAGTGAAAAACAAAAAATGAAATGAATATTTTTATATTTATTTACATATTTTTCATGCATAAGAATCTAAGGGCTCATATAAAGGGGAGTACCAACCAAGGAGGTAAGCATTTATCTTTAGAAGTTATCAACAGTACGAGCGAAACCAAAGTCTGCAAGCTTGTGCTAATTGCCCTTGATTAATATATTTTCAGGCTTGAGATCTCTATGAATGATACCATTCTTTAGGAGATCCATGAAGCCATTCAATAAATCCTTCATGACATTGAGGGATTCTTGTTCAGAAAGATTCTTTCTTTTTTTAAGTTCAGAACGGAAATCGCCTCCGTCACAATATTCCTAAATTATATAATAATTGTTGGATGTTTCCAATACATCAATCAAGTCAACAACGTATTCGCTCTTTAACTTCTTCATAATTTAGATTTCTGAAAAAAGACCGTTCATTAAATATTCATCATTTTGAATCTACTTTTTCTCAATCATTTTGATTGCCACCAATTGTCCATTTTCGGTATTCTTTCCTTTAAAAACTTTACCGAAAGAACCTTGTCCTAATACACTTGAAAGCTAGAAATGATATTTGTCAATCTTCTTTGTTTCTTAATTATTGTTCTATTTGTTTTATAAAATAATATAAGTTTATTCTCATTTTACATTTGTTTTTAAAAACATTTTTGTGCAGTTGGTCATTTATTTATTTATCTATCTTTACAAATTTATGGAGTTAAGGATGTGAAAGATTGCTTTTTACTTTCTAGTTTAAAAGGCTTTCCTAAGTTTTTAGGGCTTGCCCCTACTGAATGAGGAGTTAATTTGATATTTTAAAGAGGGTGTTTGCTCTTTTCCTCATTTGTAGAAAGAACAAGATGAATATATTTTTTGTAAGTTGTATTTATCGTTTTTATTTTGCCTTTTTTGTAAAAATACATTAAGCGGCTGGAAGACTAATGAGTTGAAATCGATTCCAAAAGCTAAACTACTCTTTTTATTTAACAAATACTTTGCCGCTAACTCCTCAACCAACTGCATATTGTGAGTAAAAACTCGAAGCAGATAATTGTGTTGTAGTAAAGAACATTTTCAATTTCAAATACTATACCATTTTGATTATTTTGCTATGGGTTAATCTTGAATTTTTCTTATTATTTGACGATGAACTCTCTTCTTCTTCTTATTTCTTTCTTCTTTTCTTAATTAAATTATTTCTTCTTCTTTGATTTCAATAATTTTTTATGAACAAAACGAAGGTTTTTATTTCTTTATATATTTTTTGATTTTATTTTTATTATTAATTAATGCAAATTAATGAGGGCCTATATTTACTATATATTTTTATTATTTCACTCTAATTTCATTAATTGTATAAACTTCATCTATGCATGCATACATGCATACTTGATTGATTGATTGATAAATAGATAAATTGATTGATTTTTTATTAATTTATTAAATGCCCTCTTAAATTATCACCAATTTTTATTAATTTATTTATCTTTAGACAAAGTAATTGCTAGCTACTTCACTATTTTAGGGTAACCTTCAATTCCATTGAATTTAGAAGTAATTTTTTTTAACAAGGGACACATACATACGAATGCATTATTCCCTATTTATTTGTTTATTTTATTGTTTTAACTTGTGAATCTATATGCTTGCAGATATTTATTTGTTTTTTAATTAAAAACTACCCTCGATTTTGACAAGAACAAGCTTGCTCTTTTTGCACATTTTTTTCTGTTCGCTTTAAATCAGAAATTAATTAAATTATGTGTGAAAGCTAAAGTAATAGAGATATGATTGTTATTAAAATGCATAATCGTTCATCAAATATTAGACTTTTGATTTATTATTTTTTCTCCTTTTTCAACCTCAATTTTTAAAATTTAGATGCCTTAAAAATATATCTTTTTCTTTTCTTTTACTCTTTCTCTCACCGTTCTTTTAATTCTTGAAATAGCCATTTCTCAAACAAACTAAAGACATTACCTAATAAATAACATTTTATTAAACAATCAAAGGCTCACTAAATTCATAAAGCTTTTTCAAAGATAATACAACATACATACTTTCTCCTATTAGAGAAAAAAGGCTTGACTATTTGAAGTAATAAATTTCAATTCAAATTAATAACTAAACTAAGATAAATACGCACCTCATCACAAAAAAAAAAAAAGAAGTAAAGATTATGTTACAATTTTCAAATTAAAAATTAAATATTTAATAATTATTAACCAATAAATGATAAATATTCTTGAGATATGCATTTGTTCCTTTGCAATAATTTATTTGAAAAAATACTTCATTATAAAATTTATTGAAATAAATACTTCTATTCTATCAATCATATCTACTCATTAGATATTTAAAAAAAATATCAGTATTTGTCTAAAATTTAGAAAAAACGCATCACATTTAAAGAAGTTTTTGTAATCAAAAATAAATGTTTTTTCAACAAATAATAAAAAAAATCTATTGAAATCACTAAATAAAATTTGATTTATACTTTTACTGATAATAAATTTCTCCTAATTATCCTATTCTTGAATAAAATATTATTATTACTCTTTCAAATATCTTTTAGATTTATTTTCTATCGTACTTTCTTAAATAATTAAAAATTTAATTAAAAAATTAGGCAGATTAGACTAAAAGATATCGCGCTTTTATCAAATGATAAAAGCAAAGCATTTTCACATTCCAAAATAATCATACAAATTTATTTTATTATTTGTTTAAGATTTCAATGATAATTAAATTTTAATAAACTTAGTCAATATTCCAAAAATTTAAAAAGCCAATATTATTTTTAAAATATCTTCAAAATTAAATTTATGAACAAACAAAATGAATGCAACAAGTAATTGAACAACCAAATTTTATCAATAGAAATATTTTTTAGTCTAAATAATGTTAAGTCTATAAAAATATTATTTATGTATGTATTTATGTTTCTAATAAGCGATTCTCTAGTATTAAATTGAAATCAAACAACCTCAAAATTTTGCTATTATCATTAAAAATAAAATTGAAAAAATATTATGCAAATTACCTTTCATAACATGAGTATTTTAGATATTCAGATTGCAAATAATTTTTTGATGAGAAAAGATAGTAGAGAGATGTAATTTTAAGTATATAGATTCAAAAAGGTAGTTTACCTATTTCATTTGTTGGGATATAAGCCTAGTTTAATAAAATTTGATAGGTGAGTAATCTAAATAAATAAAATTCAAATATCTAACATTCATGCGTTAAGGATTTTGATCAATAAATTTGTCTATCTCAAAATATTTTTAAAGACTAGTGAAAAACGAATGGTTGAATACTAAACAATTAAAAAATTAATTATTTGTTTAACAATATTTCTTTTTATAAGATATTTTGATATTATAATAATTTTTTTTGGATCTTTACCCATTTTTTACTATTTATAAAAAAAAATATTGAAGTTCAATAAGCGCTTTAAGATTGGCATTTAGAGATTAAAAATTAGAATTAATACGAAATACAAATAATATTGGATGCATGAGTAGTTACTTAGGTAAGTTTTACTGTAATTAATTAGGTTTTTTTATTTTAAATTAAAAAGAAATGTTAAATTTATGCTTGATAGGCTTTTCTATTCTTTTTTTTTCTTCATTTTTACTTTGTTTTTGTTTATTTTTTTGGAGGAGAGCGATCTTTTTAATTTTTATACTTCTCTTCAAGTTACTACAAAGTTAAAACCTTTTATGATTTTGGTCCATTATTATTATCGCCAAAATCTAAATCTATCTCTCCTTCATCATAATCTTAATAATTATTATCATCATCTTCATCTATTTTACTATTTTTGTCTATTTTTAGGTTTTTGCTTTATGGTTTGTCTTTTAATTCTAATGCACATACTTCGCTGCAAAACCAACTAGCCTTAGCGAATGTTGCTTTTTCTTTTAATTCTTATTTGCCACACAAGCAAGTTATCTATAAATAATAAAATTTAAGAATATTTACATAATTAAAATTTTTATTACATAGCTTGAGCCTTTGTATACTGATAAGCAATTGGTAGAACAAAAATTTTTAATATTAAATGTTTTTTCTTCACCTAAGGGTACTAATTTATAACAATTATAACAAGAAATTTTATCAATATCTCTCTTAGGCTTCCTACCATAGCTAGGGTCAGTCTTTGGATCTGTTTCTATTTAAGCATCTGTCTGATAAGGGAAACCTTCGTTAGACCAGCTATCTCCACCTGAGGAATAAAAGAAAGGAGTTTTTTGAGTTGGAGCTTTTTCTTTATCTTATTTATCTACTATCTCTAAATCTATTGGAGGTTGATATGAATTTTTTGCAAATCCTCTTATTGTTCCATCCTCATCTTCTGTGCTTTTATTCCTTCTTAGCAATTTAACTGGATGATCTCTTTCATTATTGACAACATTCTCTGCAAATCTATATAATTTATTCAATTTAAAATGATCCATAAAAAATCAGAATTAAATGATGTCTCAAGTCAAGACAGTTTGATTTTATAAAACATTTTTTTTGATTTTGTAATGATTGATCATACCTAACAGATTTTTTTCTATCTGCTGTTGAAAGATTAGCCCTTTCGTTTTCTAAATTGTTTTCAATCACATTTTTCTTTCCTTAGCCTCTAAACTCCATTAATGCTTCTAAAAAAGATTTGTGAGATTCTTCTTCATTAAAATTACCATTTAGAAGCTCTCCTCCCTTTGATTCATTTTATGAATTTGTTGTTGCAGTTGATGAAGATATTCTATAATTCGAGTCGTATTAATCTTGCTCTTCTGTTGGAGGCTCTAATTCCTCTAAATCTGTTCTCTATACTCTTGGGTACAAAACAATATTTTTAACTTTGGAACTTTCTCCTTATTAATCTTTCATTTCTTTTTTTAAGTGTAATTCATCGAATTATTTTTATTCTTCCTTCAACACCTCTATTCTCTTTTATATCTTAATTTAATGGCCAGCTGGAATCTTCATTGAGTTCATTATCTCGGTATTTATTTCTAAAATTTTATTTATATAGCTTATTGCATTTTTGAAAATTTATTTTCACTGTGTTAAATTAAAAATTTAAAAATATTCAATATATTTGTTTATTCTATTAAGTTTTTTGTGATTAGAATAATTTAAGAGATGAAATTAACATTTTTTATACCTAAAATAGTTTCGAGGTCATCAAAACCATTATCTTCAAAAGCTTGTTGATATTACAGCAAGTTTACAGTAGAAAGAAATTAATGAACTTCCTTCTGAAGTTCCTTTTATTAATTTAAATGTTTTAATAGGTTGGATTCAGCTTAAGTTTTTTTTTGAGAATAAGCATTTACTTGAGTAGTGTTTTAAGACAACTCATTTAGCTTAGTTTCTATTACTTTTCTTGGCTTTCTATTTGGGTTTTATACCAGAAAATCGTATTCAGAATTGTTTTTATCAGTTTAAATTTCTTCTTTATCTTCTTTAGTATCAGTCTACTAAGTGAATGAAGTCATGGAAGATGAAGCTTATTGCTAAACTGAATTATCGAAACTTTAATTTAAAGTTTTTCTAAAAGAAGAATTTAAATTATTTTCGTTTTCTTTTCCTTTTTCCTTTTCCTTTCCATTTAAGGAAGTATTTAAAGCAGAACGTGAGCTTTAATTTGAACTTGGTCCTTTATTTTATTTTATTTTATTTGCATTTATATTAATTTAATTCTACTTAGGAAAGATGCAATTCTTGTTTACTTGAATTTGGTAAGTTAGATGGACGTTTTAAAATTTTGCTTTAAACCTAATTAGTCTCTGGTTTTGTATAATTGCCTATCTTCAATGTTGGGGGTTTTATAACTGGCTTGCTAGTGCTAGATGAAGTATTTGAAGATTACTATGTCAAATTTAAATTTTTTTTATCAAGAACCTAATTTGCATAATCTATATTTTAGTGAAACTTTAATTTATATTATCATCTTTTAATTCCAAAGCATTACTTTTTATTGGCTAATCAGTGGTTGATGTTTTCCATCTAGATCCACTTGTTCTCATGCTAATTTGTAATTTTTGTAAAAAAAGTTTCATTAAAATTTGTTTTATCATAGCAAATAATAATTATTATTCATTACTTCTCCTCTCTTTTAGTCTTCTCTTTATTCATAGCTTACTTTAACTGCAATAATTTGTCTTCCTATATTAAATAACAAAATAGCTCATCATTTATCTTTCCAAAATTGAATCTATTTTTCTATGTTTCTTAACAAATATTAAATAAATTTGATAAATACATTTTTCTTGACTTCGCTTTCTAAAGTATTAGATGATTATGACTTCCTAAATATATTGAAAAAATGTTTATTAATTTTTTATCTGAAATTACTAAAATAAATTTACTTTGGATTTGAAACTCCTCTCCTCATCTTCGCTTTATCAACTTACTTAAATTATGTATTTATGAATTTATCTATTTATCTGTAATTTATTTTAAACGATAAAATACTGATGATAAATAAATAATTATGATTTGACTTTTTTAATCAAAATTTAAAAATAATCAAAGTAATTCAAACTAAATTTTATGCATAAATTGTCCATTAATAGTATCAGATCTTGCAAAAAACAAATAACACTGTGATGAATATCTTCTGCATCATAACTTAAGATAATCAAGATATTAAGTATTTAAATTCATTAAAAATTACAAAAAAAATAATTTAATCATATTTTTTCATTGATTTATAATTTTTAAATCAAATTAATATTTTTAAATTGGTAAATAAAATTATTTTCAAAAACTTTAATAATTAAAAACTATAAAAAAAATAAAATAAATTGTTTACTTACTCTAAAATAAAAAATTATAAAATAGCAAAAAAATAAAACCAAGAAGAATTGCTTGAAGTATTTATGTATTTGTTTATTGACTCTGCTCTACTTTTTTTAATTATATAAATTTATTTAACAAATTATTATTTTTAATAAAATAAATATAATTAATTAGTGAGTTAGTTATTCTCTCTTTATAAATATTTATAGTTAATAATGTATGGTTATTTATAATATAGATAAACATAGAAAAAGAAAGTAGACCTCGAATAAATAGATAGTTGTTAATTAGATTAAAATTATTAAAAGCTATTCCTTTATATATAAATATATCAGTCAATTAGTTGTATTTAACATAATCAGTGAATTTCAATTTTTTCTCTGAAGGTAATGATCCCATCTTACTCTGTAGGCTTATATTCCTGAATGATTAGTATGCTTACTTGAATATCTTTAAGCAGGAAACTCTACTTAGTTAGTAGTTTTCCAGATATTATTCTTTTCTCCATGATAAACTGTTCTATCTCCTATTTATATTGTAGAAATTTTATTGCGTGGATAATAGAAGTCATTCGATGTATTCAATCTGCTTCTATAGGAATTAGGATTATATCTTTCTAGAGGTTTATTTTGGCCCATTCCTGCGTATGGGATAGTTTTTTGCCTATACTGGGTATGAGAAAAGCTATCATTATATGTACTCCTATTCATTGAGTCTGCTACAGTTTTTAAAGGCTTTTCATAAAAAGGTACTGCTAAATAAGATTTGTCTGGGCTTTTTACACTTTTTACATAAGAGCATGAATCAATTCGAGTATCTTTAAAAAAATTAGCTGACTTTTCAAATTTTTTAGGTGTATTATAAACGAATGTGCCCATAGTTGATCTCATCTAACTAGTCTGTGATATGGGAGGAATAGAGCTATAACCTTCTCTAGATGCACATGTTCTTTATTTGATTTTTGATTGCTAATCATAATCTTGATATGCTTAATATTTTTAACCACTAGAAAACCCTCTAGACTGTTAATGTATATTGCTTCTTTCCAAATAATCTTCCATAATAAATTTTATTTTACCTTTTTATTTTATATTTTTACTTACTAAATTAATAAATTTTTGCCAAAGAATAATTATAATTAGTATTTCGCTGGCTTAATTAATAAATAATTAAAGTAATAAAATTACTACTAACAAAATTTTAATGGCTTAAATAAGGCTAAATTATTGATAAAAAATTTCCATAAATTCATTTTGTAAAAAATAAAATAAACACACATATTAAAATAAATTTATTAAATTAAATTAAACTTTTAATGAAGCTGTCAAAAATTTTTGAGATTAAAATTTAAAAAAATTTCTGTGATTAAATTTTAAAAATATTTCTGATAAGATTATGTAAATATATCAAAAAAATTTTTTATTTATCTACATCAAATAATTAAAACGTCTAGAAACTTTCATTGAATTAATTATTATAGATATACTGTGTCTAATATAACTTTTTTCTAACTTTTAAAATAAAAAAATGAGTTAAATATTAATTAAAAATTTTTATCTCATTCCTGTATAATCAATTCAATCACTTTTTGTATAATTCCATATTCTAGAATAACTATTTATCAATCACATAATACTAAAATAAATAAATGATCTTTGTTTTTAAATGGTTTTTTGACTAAAATTTTTTACTTTTAGATTAATTAAATTGATTTAAACAAAAATAATAATTTAAAAAATCGATACCTAGATGCTAATGCTAAAGATAAGATTTTAATTAAAACTAAATGTGTCTGAGCTAAATTCGCAAATTTTCAAATTAGATATAATATTTTCTTTTAATTTTTTAAAATAATTCCTTAAAAAATTAAAACAAACTAAATTCCTGATAATTTTTTATAATAATTAAAAAAGAAAAAAAAAAGTAATAGTAAATATTAAGAAAATGAAAAAGTGTCAATGCGGAAAATCCTTTAAACTAAACGGATCACTTTATAATCATATTAAGAATAAACATGATGGGAAATACTAAGAGTATAAATTATCCTAAGCAAAGAGAGGAAGACCTAAGAAGCCAATCACCGATAATCAAAAGAATAATAAATATAAGGATATTAAATATACTTTAGAAATTGAACCTTAAGGCTAATAGTTAGTAAAACTTTTTGATACAGGTTTATTGATTTCATCAACATTTAGAAAATTAATAAATTCCTTTAGCGAAAAACATTCAGATTTAATATATGAAAAGCAAATAAACTCTTGTGACTATTCGAAATTCTCCTAACTTTTTAACTAATTTTAAAACAATTAAGAGGTTTAAAAACTCTGTGTTGAAATTGTTGGCTTTGTTTAAATGCTTATACCTAATATGTAATAACATATTCTAGAATATGTTTATGATGAAATTTTATAATAAAAAAAAGAAAATTATTCAATCTCTTAGGAAATCTAAAAAAGCTTAACTTAAATAATAGGAGAAGTTTATGGGCATATTAATGTTAAAAATGATAATAAAGATTCCAACAATTATCCATAAAAGTTATCCTAAAATTTATCATAAATGTAAATTCAAAATGAAATCATCTCTTAATGAATGAATAAAAACAAAAGAAATGACTTTTTTTGAATTTATAAGGTTAAAGACCTATCAGAAAAATAATAAATGTATCTATTTCAATTCAATTCATCATATAATTACTATAGAAAACAAAAAAACTATTCTAACTTAGATCAGTTTTAGAGTTTCTAATTTTTCTTTCTTTCTAAATTACTTTCTTACTTACTTACCAATCTTTTTATATCTCATATTTTAGTTAAAAATGTAAATAACAAAAGTACTCTTGTAAAATATTCATGTAAAAATTTATGTTGTAAATAATATATTTTAAAGAGATTTTGATAATAATTTCTTAGATTGAGAATCTTTAGTTCCAGAATTAAAAAGAAATAAATTATTGTAATTAAATTAATAATTCTTTCATACATATAAACATAAATACATACATAGATAATATGTTTAGATTAAATAGGCTCTTTAAGCCAAGTAGAAACTTTTTGTTAAATTAGCACCTCTTTTATAAGACTTAAAATGAAGTGGCTTCTTAAGCACTCTTTAGGAAGAATTATTACAATTTTTCCAGCTCTTAGTCATCTTCATAGTCAGGGTATTTTGACAATACTTCTTATAAAAAAAAATATAAATTTGACAATAAGAATAACAATAACTAAAACTAATAACAATAAAATTATGACGATTAAAATAAATAAACTAATTAATTTCTTTCTACCGAAAATAGCGATAATAGCTAGCAATCATTAAACGACTTTAAATCATATATACAAAAATTGAAGGTAGTTTAAAATTAGAGTTTATTTGAAAAAATATAGCAATTAATTATATTAAAAGGATGAAGACTCGAAGCAATTCAATAGAGAAGAGTGGGATAATAAAATGATGTTTAAATTTTTGAGTAGTTTCATTAGAAGGTATATAAAATATATAATATATTTTATCTTTAAGGTGGCCTATACATTTTTACTTGAATACAAGTATTATGTATTATTTGGCAGCTTATTCGTTATTTTGTGAGTTATAATAATAATTAATTTGTATTTGTTAATAGCATTAAATGTAGAATCAATATGTTAATTAATTATCAATCAAATAATTGATATTTTGATTTCAAAATTCTTTCATCCTATTGTATGCATTTATTAATCAATGGATTTCTCATCAATCAAAAATATTAAAACATATATAAATATATATATTTTTTTTTATAAATTTTATTTTAGTTTTATAAAATATTTTTTAAATAAATTTAGACCATATGCATTAGAAATCATTTAGGAAATAGAATTATATGTATTTAGCCAGCAATTTCAAAGTTAAGTCTCATTTATCTCAAACTACAAATTTATAAACAATTTATCATTTATTTTTAATATCTGAAGAAATTTCTATTTAATAATTAATTAGGTTGCTATAAGGAAGAAATAGTTATTGTTAAATATGCTTTGTTTGCTTTACATGTGTGGTTAGTTAAGAATAGGCTCTCTCAGATAGTATGATCCGATTTGATTCATTCAACAATCTATCTATTCTAAATCTTTAAATATATTAATCTTTATTTTACCCTTAAACTAAAGATGAGTTTAGAGTCATTTCGTATAAACAGAAGCTTAGATAAGCTATTTGAAGAATACACTAAAGATATAGTGTATCAGTTTTAGGTAAAAATTTCAAAATAAACTAATTTCAACAAAATTATTTTAATAAAAACTTTTATCTCAAAATTAAATCATGAGTATTAAACATAATAATAAAAAGGATTATTTTGATAAGGATGTCTATTCTGAGCTTATTAGAATCAAGAGGACTCTTTTCTATTCTTTAGATGATTATTTTGTTTATGATTATAAAGATAGAGATCTTTCAGATATCATTCTCGAGTAAATTTTGCCCACTCAGATTTGTAAAAATATGCCATTTAAATAGTGAAATATTATAAGGAACATATGAAGGAAACGACATAGATAAAGAATCAGAAGAAATAAATAACTTGATAAATTACATTCATGAGCATGTAAATATTACATCTAAACTATAAAAATAAACATTCAATTTTTAAAAATAAAGAGAAGCTATTTATCCCATTTTTCTGCCTCTGATTTAAAAGAGTATAAGATTTTCTGGGGGCTAGATAGATGCTATAAAAAAGATTAGAACTGATTTGAGTATGCATACATTATTACACATTCTAAAAAAATAGGCAAAAAATTTGACAATCAATAATAAAAATATGAAATTTAGCAAGAAAGCAAGTAATAAATATTTTATAAGCTATGATTAATTTATAACTTTTTAATTATTTAAATACATATTTGATATAAACAAATAATTTGTATACATTAAAATTTATATATTTATTTGTACATATTTAAAATTTGTTTTTTAATTAAATTTAAATAATTCATTTTACTCTTAAAATCATTTAAAATTGATTTAACATATTTTACACTTCTAATTTTAAGTTTATACTTACTTATTTACTTACTTATCAGCCCATTGACAAATCCCAATGTGAAAAATCGGACTTATATATTAGTTATTATTTTATAAATTTTTCATAAGCTATTGCACTTAGCACGTTAGCATATTTATCATAAACATACTTTTTTATCTTATTTAACTCATGCTTTCTAATCATAATATTATTATCTCTATTAATTTTAAAATTTATGTTCAAAAAAATATACTATAAATTATCATCTATCTATTAAAATAAATAAATAAACACCTCTTTATTTTTCATATTTACAGGATTAAATTTTAAATTTCAGAATTTTTTATTTTCTTTGTTTTATTTTTGAGGATTTAGAGTAAAAATGTTAAATTTAATTTATTGAACAAACTTATTTTATTATTTTATAAATATTTTACCTGAACTCATAATAAAATAGTGTTAAATACTAGAGTTATAGTATCATTTTCTAAAATTCTAAATAACTCTTTGATGATATCACATTTTATCTAAAATTATTAAAAAATATTTTTTAAAAGCTAAAAATTAAGATTTTAATACCCTAAATGTATGATCATAGTGTGCAAATTCTCTAGTTAACTGATAGCCCCAAATATTTCCTTTGCTTATATATCTCCTATAAGCATATCCCTTAATATTAAAATAAAATTTAGCTTAATTAAAGATATTTTAAAACTTTTACTCAAATCCAAGAGAAAGGATCTTTAACTTAGATAAAAGCCCTAGCTCTTTGGGGAAAAATTATGGAGAAGTATTGATGTTAAAACATAAAAAGAGTCTTAGTCTTTCTAAATTTTATGGTTTGACAGCATATTCCATAATAGACTTTATTCCCTCAGTGGTTAAGCCATTCTAGCTATTTAAATTTTTATAAAAAAATAATGGGAATTTATATATTTAGAAAAAGATCTATTGATCCTTTAATTAATAATTTACCAAACACTTAACTCAAATACATTTAGATTACTTTGTAGGTTATTCATCATCTATTAAAAGTCTTCAACTATTGCATTTGTAAGGCTATTAGCACTTAAATAAATTAAAAAATATTGAAAAAGTAATTGAGATGAATAGAAAAAACATAGAACAATTAGTAAAATAAATTGTCTACTCTAAATTTATAATTAATTCTTTCAAAGTGTTCTTTTTAGAAAGAATATAGAACATTGAATTGGCACCTACATCTTTTATCCTACAATTCCTATTTTAAATTAGTTAAATATACTTAAATATTTTATATTATTTTCTTTAATACTATGCTCTCATTATAAATCTACTAAGTTTTTCCAAATTTTCTACTCCACTCATCAATATTGAAAATCCATCTTAACCTACAACATTATCTCTAAAAAGTAAAACAATGTTAGAATAAATATACTGTAAAATAATAAGTACGTTAAAAATATCTCGAGCGATTCTAATTGAGGTAAATCCTATAAACAATAACCAATCATCTATGCTCCCTATTCGCCAATTAAATTTTTACTATTGTTTTATATTATTAACTTTACTTCTACTTCTCATACAAAAGAGTTTATAAAAATTTACGTTAAACTTAAACCCAAAGTTTTTAAGTTTTTTTATAGCTTAATAAAATTTGTTAAAGATTCAACTCCATTTTTACCTATTTTGTTTTATCTAAAACTTGCTCAATAAACCTTATTTTAAATTGATCACTTAAAAAATACCTTATATCTATTTATAAATTATTCAGCTAATGCATCATTCCTATATCCTTAAGTATCATGGAAATTTACGACAGTTTGATGCTATTTTACCTGTTATAAATGTTTTATGAATGCTCAAATAATTTTTAAATAAATAATTAATTCAAATAATTTTCTACCAAAGTTGTAGACCTAAGAAATGCAAATCGTCTTTATAATATTTTGCTACTTCATTTATTTACTTACACTCATCATCACTAATATTTTCCTCACTATAATTACATTAGCATAAGAATAATTAAAAAATTATTTTACAGTTTTTTAAAAGCTAATTTGTTTTAATCCTCTTTAATTTAAACTATTTCTGTTGTAATTATATTCTTTCTTTTTAATTCTTAAGCTAATTATTCCATTTATTTTATTTGAGTATTTAAAGTTATTAATTTTGTTAAAAGTTGGTTTTTAATTTTCAATATAATTTTTTACCAAATAAATTGTAATCAAATCAAAATTCATACTTATTAAAGATATTTATAAATATAGATACTAAAGAAAATATCTGGAAGGTTTCTATTCATGATTAAATAATATAAATTTATCATAAAAAATAATACTTCTATTTTTATCTTATCTAATTTAAACCATTTACAAATAAATATAATATCTATTCTAATTAAATATTTTTTTTTATTTAAAATAAATTTTATACAAAAAAATTAAGCTTTTTAATTATTTTTAATACTTTCTTTGCTTGCTTTAATTAAAGTGCATAATCAAACAGTATTTTTTCTAAAAATTTAACACCTTAATAAAAAATTAACCATAACTAAAAAATATATGTACCTTAATTAAAAATAAATATAATTATAAGGATATTATAATAAATTTTTTAATGATTTTTTGAAAAAAATGTAAATGAATTTATTAAATAATAATAATTGCTTAAAATTTAATTTGAAAGTTTACAGTATAATTAAAAATTTACAAAGAATTTTCAAGAAAAATTTTTATGGAGAGTATTTTTTATTGTTATAATTAGAAATTACTTTATGTGATTTGAGAAGAAATTTTAATTTATATTTAAAAAAGTGTTTTAATTCTTAATTTTTTATCAAAAAAGATATTAAGGATAAAGATTTAATTAAAAAATAATAGAATGGGTTGTACATAAATGAAACAAAAAAAAAAATTGATATTGAAAAAATAGTATTTTAATGAATTAGAAGAAGTAATTAAATATTTTAAGTTTCAATTTTGATAAATTTGTTTTTCTTATATAAAAAAGTTTTAAAATATTTTCCATTCAGCTTATTTAATATTAGAGATAAACTTAAGGTATTAAGAGTTTTTTTACTTTACTTAATTTTTATTTATTTTTTATTTTATTTTATTGTTTTTATTTTTCTTTTTCAATTTCCAATATTTATACAAGCATTTAATATAAAATTATTAAAAAATTGATAAAAGCTGGAGCTAAATAAATGAAAAAAGTATTTTGCCTTTATGTTCTTCCTTAACAAAATGCATTAATCTTTAAAATTTAACTCTCATCCTTTTGTAAAAACTTCTTAAATTATTTTAAATTAATCTTGTCTTCTTTCAAATAATTTAATTATTAGGATATAATTAAATTAGCATATTTATAATAATATATTTTGTTTAATTAAATCAATAATTAATTTTTTTTTAAATTTTTTATAATTTTTTAATTTGAAAAATAATTGCATATATTTAAAAAGTCATAATCATATTGGAGACTAAGGAGTATATGACTTATCTATTGCTTTATCTAAATGTGTAAGTCTTTCAACTTTGGTGATAGATTTGATGTATAATTTATTATTCTAATTTATAATTTTTTTAAACTTAATTCAATTATTTAATTAAATTGATATCTTTTATCTAACTCACAAAAGCAGCAATCTTTTTTTCGATGATGGTATATTAAATTTTGCTAGTGGATTATTAAAATGCCCAAAACTGAAAATGCTAGTGCTATAAATAAAGTAAATTTTATTTAATTAATCAATTTCTATTTTATAGATTGATTATTTTTGCTTGAATTTGCCTATGAATTTAAAGAAATACATAGATTATACAATTGTTTTTTTTTAAGCTTTAAAATAATAATTATTTCTAAAATATTAAATTTTTTTAACTAAAATATTTAAATTAATTAATTAATAGTAATAATAAAATTTATTGCCAACAAAGACTCAAAAATAAAATTAAAAAAGCAAAAAGGCTGGTCAAGTTCTCTATCATTTATTGAATACTTCATTAAATTCAAATTAATTTTATTTTTTATTTAATTTTATAAATAATTAAAAATATTTAATTTCAAAAGAAATTTAAAGTTAAAATTTATATTTTTATCTTGAAAATGATAAATTAGTATTTTTTTAATTCTGATTTAGTGAGTACATTAACAATATGATAAATAGTTACTTACTTAATACACTAAATAAATTTTACATGATAATTAATTCTAACTAAAGATTTAACTGAATATATTAAAAATGTTATTAATTTATGCTATTTTTATATACTATATTAACTTTTACATGATAATTAATTAAGATAAGATTAAACTGACTTTTATTTAAAATATAATTAGATTTATGTTATCTAAAAATATGAAACAACTTATTATCTTTATAGATTAAACTGACTTTTATTTAAAATATAATTAGATTTATGTTATCTAAAAATATGAAACAACTTGTTATCTTTACTAAATAAAAATTAATTACTTATTAAAAATCATAGCATTCTTAAAAATAATGAATTTTTTTCTTAATTAATTGTATAATGTCTTTTAACCTGATTTTAAATTAAGCTAAACAAATTTATTTCAAAATATAATAAAAAATATTTTTTTTTTAAATTTTATAATTTAAATTATTTTTTATTACAAAAAAGAATAAAACTATTAAAATATAAAACAAAGAATGTTTAAATTTTCATTTTGTTTTTTTCAGAAATTAAAATATTTAAGATATTTTTAATTCTGACATTAAGTTTTTTATAATAAGATTTATACTTATTAATATACTGGTTGATTTGTGAGCGAAAAATTATTGATCAAAAATATCTTCTAAATTTTTTACAATTAAAATAATCTTTTAAAATATATTAAATTAACTACAAATATGTCTCTAACACAAAGTCATACATTAGAAGTAATTAAATTAAAGGTACGAATTAATAAAATTTATACTTTTAATATAGGAAAAGTTGGATTTAAGTAAGAAAGAGTTTAATGCTAATGTAAAACTCGTTTAAGATTTACTTGCAATTTTTTAATTGAGATTAGATATTGAATAGCAATATTTAAATGGTTACTAAAAATTGTCAAAAATGGTCGAAAATTTCAACAAGAGTTTTATTTCGTAAATTGTTTTTATTTTTTTATAATATTTTGAAGAAATTATTAATTAGTGTTTGTATATAATAAGGTTTTGCCCAGATTTATTTAGTCCTTTTGAAAGTTTTCATGCAATTTAATTAGACCAAAAGTAAAAGTTAGTTCATAGTTTAGAAACAGATCTTGTATAACATATGAAAGCTTAGTCTGGATACATATTTAGCTTAGAATAAAATTTATATATGAACTGTAAGAGCATAATAGATAGTTATAATTAGCTTTTTTTAGATATTCCTAAAGTATATTTAGATACATTTTTAATCATGAGTATTTTTATATGATAAATAAATTGCCAAATAGCTAAAAAATGAATATTTATCTACAAGAGAAGAGTTGAGTAGCTCTTGGGAAAGTTTAAACTCTGCACAAATGAGCTCAAATTCATTAAAAACTATTGAGAAATTTTAAAAAAAGTATATTTTAAAAACAAAAAGAAGCTATAAACATTTTATATTCTAGATTTTAACTTGCAAGACAAAAGAAAGAAGAAAAAATGGATTCAATGCATTAAAAATTAAAAAATTTGAGACACTGCAATAGATTTTATTCAGAAATGGAAGTAAATTTTTTTCCATAAAATTAAAAAAAAATAATCACAACTAAAGAATGAGTTAGAAGCTAAGTATGACAATTTTGAATGCTAAAAGAGTGATTTAGTATTTGATAGTATAAGCAAATATTTTGTTTAGGAAGTTCACTACATGACTAGCTTATAATATGATTTCAATAACATTTTAAAGGTTTGTATTTTTTGATTATACAATCAAACTAAATAATTTATATTTTTACAAAAATATATTTTTTAGAAACTAAATGATGAAGAAGGAAAAGAAAAAATAAAGTTAATTAGATATAGTTAAATAGACTAGTAGAATTTACCTGCTTAACAATCTCCAACAGAAAATTAAAAGCCATTTGGATAAACTTTTAATTAATTTCTTGAGGGAGATGCTGCTAATAAATTGAAACTAAAAGTATGAAGTGAAATACATTTATAAACCACTTTAAATAAGTATTATTAACTAATTAGGCAATGGATTTCATAAAAAAAATGTCAAGTCAACCTAAAGAAAAGGGAATAGTGATAGGATTTTAAGCAAACGAACTTGATGGATTTTTACATGATGAATGGAAGTGTGTCTTAAAAGAAATGTAAGAAAGAGAGGCAAAAAAACAAAAATAGATAGAAGAGGAAATACAAAAATAATAGGAATTATAAAACAAAGATGAGAAGTAAAAAGGACTTGAAGAAAATAATAATTCTTCTTCAAACAATCAATAATAAAAAAAGGTAAATTTAACATATAATTATTTAACATACAAATCAACTTCAAAATATATTTTTAAAAGGAAAAAGAATTAGAAGAAAAAAATTAAAACTAATCAGATAGTTCTGAAAATAGCAGCTATTAGTATTTTGATTAATAAGAAATCAACTAGGCACTTGATTGATTGATTAATTTATTAATTACTAAAAAATGATATCAAACTAAATTTTAAATTGTTTTGATATTCATGTAAAACAATGTGATTTTAACTTAATAATATTATATAAAAGTATTGCTATCTAATTATCTCAAGTTTTTGTATTAAAATTATTAATTAAATATTTATTAGCCGGTTTATTTTTTTAAATTTGATTAAAAAACACCAGAAATAATTAGTCATAAATTAAGCATTTATTTTATAAATATTTATGAAATTCAATACATATTATTATTAGTTCGAGTTAAATAAATATTTTTTATTTCTAGTAAGATCAACACTCAATCCCTTTTTATTAATATTAACTTTTAAAAGTATGGTTACTTTTTCTACAATTAATATTACCAGAAGCAATATATATTTTCAAATTTATTTACTTTTTCATTTATTTTTAAAATAATAGCTTGGTATTTCGATTTCCAAAAATAAATGATTAAAACAGATAATAAATATAAATGAAAATAGATATTCAAATATCCCTAATTCTATAAAAATATTAAATCTATTCTTAATTGATTTGCTTTTAAGTGATATTGGAGTATCTTTTATCAATCACTAAAATTACATTTAAATATTTTTTTGTTTATATTTATTTTCTTACAATAAACCTTTATTATTTTAAAAATGAAAAACAATCTTTATTTTAGGTCTTTTATTAATTGCTGATGTAGCAAATTTAATTTCTTTCTTTATATTTAAATTTTCAAACATATTATGACATAATTCAATTTGAATTCTTCTAACAGATAATTTTAAAAATAATTTATGTATATTTAGACTTTAAGTAGTCTTAAATAAATTTAATTCCAGATTGGTTCCATAGAAATTAACTTGTATTTTTCACCATTAAATTTACTTTAATTAAAATAAATATCTTTCTTTACTTACTTGATTACAAATATTTATTTTCACATAGTTTTTTTTAAATTAAATGATTTTTATTTACAAAACTAAAATTGTTAATATTTCTAATTTCCTTCCTTTTTTTATTATTATTTGCTAAAAATTTTTTTTAACAATTAATTTAAGGAAAAAGGATTGATTATTTAAATAAATCTACATATTTTGCTTTATTTATTTAAAAAAGGGATATTTATTATTAAAAAATGGTAATGAAGTAAGAGTTGATGAATTTCAAATTTAATTATTAATTATTATTTAATTTACATCTTACTTAAAATGAAAATGAAATATGCTTTAATTACACTGTTCGAAAAGGTAAGGAGTAAAATAGAGAAAATGTAAACTAAAATATTAACACATTTAATTTAGTTGAAATTTTTAAGATTTTAAGCTTTTATTTGAATTTAGAACTAAATATTATTAACCATACATTGAAATCAGAAAATTTACTTCATTAGAATATGTTTACACTTCTTTAATTAAATTTAGATTTTTATGGCTTCATAAAGAAAAGTATTTAGTTACACTCTTTATTGCACAAAAAGAATTAAAAATATATTATTGTTTAAAAATGTAAAATTTCAATGTAAACATGAAATTTTTAACTTCATAAAGTAATAAATTTATTTAATTGAGAAATAATGAATTAGATATATTTCTATAAATTGGTAGGTATATGCTGAAGCTTTGAAAATTTAATGTCGAGTACTATTGGAGTGAGTGCTTTAAGAGTGAATTGTAAAATAATCGTAATTAATAACAATGATATACTTTTTCTAACTAAATTTTGGATATAAAGTATTGAAAGTTATAAGATAAGAATAAAAGGTTTGATAAAAACAATTAAAAAAGAAAGTAAAATTAAATTGAAGATCAATTTTCTTAATTACTTTAATTTAAATTAAAAAGGATAAATTAAGATTTTTTCTAAAAGATTGAATAAAAACTACATAATTTATCAGTTTTGATTTACTAATTGTAAACATTTTGATTTTTTTATTTGAAATCAAAAATATATTTTTAATTATTTGTGTATTTCAATTTCAAATATAATTTAGTATTTTGATTATTGGAGAGAACAGAATTTTTCTAATAAAAAAAACACTTGTTTCTATAAAAAAGTAAAGAAAATTAGGTATTTTTAATTAATAATAATCTTGTAAACAATCATTAAGATACTTTTTGCAAATTTGTATCTTTTTTTAAGAGTAAGCTTATGAGTTATGATTAATTGTTAGAGAAGCGTGTTTTCTTTTTTAAAGATTCACACTAAATATATAAATATAAATTTGAATAAATATTTTTAACATTGAAAGAATAAAATTATAATTAAATATTATAGACAGGTAATTATCAATTTTAAATTTTTTATTTTATTTATTAATTAATTAATATATAGGTATTTTGTTAATCAGTAATTATTATTTTACTGAATTTATTTGAATGAAGTAAGTAAGCTTCAGTACTTCTAAAAAGGAGGAAGAAGAAAAAAACTTATTTGTTATACAAAAGTAGTTCTGATTTTATTAAATGTTTTTCTATCTTTTCAATTAAATTTTTAGTTTAAAGCTTATTATTCAAATTTGTTATATCAAGATATTAGATAAGAAATAGAATTTTTCTTATTATGACATAAAATGCCTTTATTTATTTGATTAATTAATTAATAATTTTCTACCTTATTTTGATTTGGGTCAAATTAAATAAAAAAATTCAAACTATTTAACTGATTGTTTATTTCGTTTCTGAATTATTATTTGAATATTTTTACAACTCAATTGCATTTTCTGTTTCTTAATCTTCAACTTATTTTAATGGAGTGGTAATGATTTCATCTAAGGATAAATATTTATCACATTTTTCTTTTGTGCTTTACTTTGAAAGAATTTATGTTGATATTTATGATACGTCAGCATTTTAATCTGCTTAATTTCTATTTTCACAATCTTTACAATTTTCTTTTTCAAATAGAATAATTTCTGATTATTAAAATTTAAACGATTTTTTTTCATAATGCTTACTTCCTGATTCTTCTTCATTACGATTATTAAATTTTTACTAACTGTTTTACAATTAGTTTTCATGGTTTACAAAATCTTCTTTCTCATTTGAATATTTTTCAATATAAATTTTTTGAGTTTTCTATGTCATTTTTAGATTTAGTCGATTTTCTTTAATATTCTTTAACTCTTGGTTTTCAATTTCATCTTTATCTAGAGTATTATCTTCATTAAAATCTATTTGTTTTACAATTTTTTCAGGACTCTTAGTTTCTTCATTCTATTGTCCTTGATTTAAAATTTAAATTTCTCCTTTCTCTTATATTAAATCTTCTTAGTATTCTTTGAAGTTAAGACTTTTATTTGAATTTGGAATTTCTTTTTAAGTTGATCCGAAAAAAGTTGAATGACTTTCACTTTTGTTATCGCTATGTATACTCTTAGCTTGAGATTTTTTTTCTGTTGAATACATTAGCTTAAATTGTGTTATTAGGTTTTCTATATCAGAGAGAGGAAGGTTTTACTATTGAAATTGCTTTGCTTTTGGAGGGGTAACAAGAAGCCTATTTTCATATCCTTTCTAGGGTCCAGACCACAAATTCAAAGAATAGAATGAATTAGTTGTGCAATTTTGAGGTTATGGAAATGGCTAAGATACATGTTTATTTATTTCAGAATTTTGTTCCTGATTACTGAAATTTCCATTGCAAAGTGTCTTATTTGTTTTGATTCCACAAATTTCATTTACCCCCTAAGATATTTATTGATTCCTACTTGGTAATTATTATTATTATTATTACTGTTGTTAAAACACATTTGAAGGTTTTTAAATTACATTAAAGTTATTTAAAGTTAAGCCCTAAGGTTGTTAAAAAACCATAGATTTCTAAAGAAAATTTATTTGATGGGGAAAATAAAAACTTTATTATTGTTATTTTGATTCTGATTAAAGAACAACACTTTATTAATATTTAGATTCTTCCTTAGAATTTAATTAATATTCAAATTATTTTTCCTTTTCACACTTTGCTTCGTACTTGTTGTGCTCTTGTGTACATTATTACTACTAAAAATATGTTTATTAATTTTAAGTCTGATCACTCTGCATTTGATTTTAAGAATCATCTTAAGACTCAATTAGCTGACTTCTCTGAGTATTATTATTATTATTATCTATTAAAAACTATTACATGTTATTTTTAGGATAATGAAACTAATTTTATAGCTCATTTTATAGTGGCTAACCGCTAACTTAGGGAAAGTTAAGCAAATGTGGGGTTTAATTTAAATTTTATGAAACAGCTGGATTTTTTTATTGTTGCAGGAGTAATTATTGTTAATACATCATAAAATGCATCTATCTTTACTAATAAATTTCTTATTAAGAAATAAGTATGTTACCATTGATTTGAGATGAATTATCTGGTTGTTGGTTTTAAGATATGTTTTATTTAAATTAAAATGGTAATTAGAAATTTTAACTTTCAAATTAACAGGGTTGTTAATACTGTGATTAATTAGAGATTTAGTTAAAATTGTACTGAAAATTTTGTTTAAATTGTTGCTAATTATTTAAATCATTTAACTTTGAAATTTGGGAGGAATTATATAGCTGTTACTAATTTTAATTTTAAAGATATTAATATTAGTTTTACTTGAAATCATTGAATTTTTAGTTATTATTTGGATAAAAAAGCTAAGGAGTGTTGAGATTAATGCACTCGCTTTATAAGCTTTAATTAAATTAAAAAGAAGCGTTTTAATTAGCACCTTAATTGGCTAAATAGCTGTTATTAAAAGATCCCTTAGAAGTTTAAGCATCTTGGTTATAGCTAGTTTGTAATACACTTGGATTAGGATTATTTATATTAACCATGTTAATTTATGTTCCCAAGGGAGCTCCATTAGCCATGGTAAAGCTTGGTTATGGCTCCTTATTTTCCTTTTCTGAATTGGCTTTTTTAAGATTCATATTTAACAAAGGGATAAATGGTTATTAAAACTATTAATTTTGAGAGTGAGATTTCTAAATTGCCTATTATTACTGCTGAATTCGATGATAGATTTAGTGATTTTATTATTGCTATTCTTGAGCAATTTCATAGTTGATTAATTAAGGTGTTGGAATTACTAACTAAGGATTGAAAGTGGAATTTAATTTGTCTTATGAGCAAATCATCATATTTTATATGTAATTTTATTGCTTAGTTTAGATTCTACATCTGTTGCATTCATTTCTGAATGAAAAATTTAAATTATTACAAATTAAACAAATCCAATCTCCTGCCCGCATAGTAGTAGTAGTAGCATTATTGCCATTGAAGTTACTGTTTCCAGAGGAAGTATTGTTATTAGAGTTTTATCCTTTGCTTTATCTATTAGTATGGATTGCTTAATTTTTATTAATGATATTACTATTGTTAAAATTTTAACTTAATGCCTGATTCTAATTCTATTGGCTATTTAATATCTATTTTTAGATATGCTAATGGTTTCCGTATGCACTCTACTAAATATTATATGCAAAGGTTTAAGGTTAGATAAGTTGAGTATCTACAGCACCTTCTATCTGTGCTTTTACCTGTTATGGATTATATGGCCTAAAATTTTTTTGAGCGTTTTGAGTAGATGAACTGGTGGTGGAAAAGAAATTTAGTGAGTCTTAGTATGGATAGTCCTGGTTATAATTGGTTTTCATCTCTTAGTTATGAGGGCTTGGAAATAATTTGTTATTTTCAATTTTTGTTGTTTACTTGTTTTTTAATTGTATTTTTATTTGGTAGATATTAGTTAGATTAGTAATAAATATTATTCCTATTTGTTTGTTTGTACAAAATGGGTAATAAATTGAAGATTCTTTTTATTAAATCTTACTTTCTTTTTTTTTAGTATGTATTAAGTTTTTTAGTTTTTTTTATAATTTAAATTTTTGTTTTTTCTGTGATGGATTTTATTTAAAAACTAACAAGAAGATTCACTTTATTTCTAATCAATTAAATAGGATATTGTCAATTTGATTAAATTGCATCACCAAATATCAAAATAGATAAACATGCATGCATACTCAATCAATATAATTATTTTGCTTTACTCATTTGATCGATAATAGTAGCTTTTGAAATTCCTTGTTATTTATATTCAGATTTATAAGAAGTTGTAACCCAAAATTACTTTTAAACTATATTTTTTGCTAATTTATTGTATAAATACTAACTGCTTATGAATATCTCATTTACATTTCAACTACTCTATATTAGGGAGTGTTTTTAATATTAATCTCAACTTTTAACGAAAAAATTGCAATTTAAATTGGCTTTAGAACGTATTTTTATTTATATTTTAAATTTGTAAATATCTTTTCAGCTCTCTTAACTGTCTATTTATTCAAATTTCTCTTAGCTTTTAAATAGCCACAAATATTTGATTTTGAAATATTTAGATGTTTCTTTATGGTAAAAATATAATAAATTTGATAATTGCATTTAATTTTCATTTGACCACTCATTTACTTATTTATTATTATTAATTTATCATAAACAAGACTAAATTTATTAATTTACATAAATTTTTCTTTTTATATCCATGATATTTTATCTAATTCATGGATCTTATATTTCATTCTATTCAAAATAAATTCAAATAATCATTTTCTATTAATATATGTTATAAGCCTTTAATATATGAATAAATATTTGATTAATCAACATGTAACTTTTACCTAACTCTAAACATTCTTTAAAAATAAATTGATTAATTATTAGAAAGTAATTGATAATATTTGATCTTTGTAAATTTATTTGAACTGTAACTTTATTAAATTAGTACCATTATTTAAGAAAATATTTGTAACAAAATTAATATTGAAATAATTCAATCCAGAAATCTTACTTCACTAATACTGATAATTTATTATTGTATCATAAAGAATTTGTTTCCTTTTCATCCTTTAGAAATATATAAACCAAGAAAAAATTTAACTTATCAAAAAGGCTTATTAATTAATATAATTGCAAAAGTAACATCAAAATATTTTGACATATTACTTTACTCTTGATCATTAAGATATTAATTATATTATCAATGTAAAAAACCTCTACCAAATATTAACAGTTTTTAAGAACTAAATTTTTCAAAATTAAACATAGACATTCCTGAAACAATAACCATTTACTTTCTAACCCTAGCCTATAGTTTTAGAGAAAATTTCTTTGAAATACGTACTATATACAAACATTATCAAAACAGAGTCATAGATAAAATTTCTAAATATGTCAATCTATAGTGGGTTCGGTACAAGAAAACAAGAACATGAGTACAATACTTCAATTGAGCGCCTCATTAATTTATTGTCTTAAAAAATATTAGAACTCCATTTGAATTGTTTGTTGCTTTATTCATTTTTAGAAAATTAATTTTATAATTTGGAATTTAATTGATTGAACAAAATATTTTTATATTAGAGGGCATAGATGACCAAAAGTTTGTAGTATCCTTTGGGAAAATATATGGAGCTATTACAAAATTAGAGTAAAATAAATATCTCCCTCCTAAATTTTCTGAATCTGCTAATGAACTAGCTAAAAAATTGGGTTTTTATTATGAGTAAATTTCAAATGCGATTGGAAGCAATTATTCTACAATCTAAATGGTAAAAACTATCAAATTCTTCAAATAAAGCATCATATTCTAAAAATAAAAAACTTTCTTTTTATAAAGAACGAGAGGATTGTGAAGAATAGTAGTCTACTGAATTCTAGTAAGCAAACATTGAGTGTGCAAAAAAATATGAATTAATAAAAGGCTAGTCCATAATTGGCTATGAGCTAATCCCCAAGATTACCAACGGTAAAATTAATTATGTTCGTTAAAAAAAAAAAATTTAAAATGGTTTTTGATTTCTCAACAATCTCTATCGATAAATATTTTAAAATTTAGTTTAAAATTTTGTATTTAAATTTTTAAATTAGAAAAATAAAAGTAAATCTGGAATCAGCTCGCCTAAAATATTGAATAGATTAGATGAAGGATATAAAACAGATAAATAAGAATCAACAGGAGATGAGCTAAACCAGACTTTTCCAATAAAATAAAAAAATAGGAATAGCTTTGATAATACTAACAAAAAATAAGTTTTAAACAATGATAAAAAGCAAAGCAACATAAATTAAAATAATCACGGCAGCTAAAATAACATAGTTTCAGTGAGTTAAGTAATATAAAATTAATAAATTTAAATGGCTAGATAAAATAGTTCAAATAATAATAAATCCTCAGTAATTCCTTCTGTTGTTTTACAACCTATTCCATTACAATAGCTTGACTAAAATAAAAAAAATAATAACGAACTGCTTATTTAAGTCAATCTTCTTGAAGAGTCAAACAAGTTTGTTAATTTGTATCCTTCATCAGATTAAGATAGCTAGCAAAATTATGAATTAAATGATCATAAGCTTAAGCAATAAAATGATTAATTTTTAGATAAATGGTCTAAACTGTGCTCTAACATTTATAAATACTAAACTGGAGAATAGCCACAAATCAAAAATGAAAGCACATAAGAATTAAGTAAATATTTTTTTATCATTTATATCTTTTATAACAAATAATTAAGTCACTAAAAATACATTAAATTAGTTTGTTAAATTATGCTAACATTTTAAATTAAATTTATGGAAAAATAAATAAATATTTTTTAGCTGTAAGACAGACCTCTAAGTTAAGCTATTTTTTACTAATTTTATATAAGAATTAGATTTTTATTTGTTTTTAATTAAGAGTTAGATAATCAATACTGTATTAATTATTTAACTAATATTTTCAAGGGACTTAAAAAGTTTTGGGTAAAAATAAACTTAAGATGGTTCAAAAAATTTTTTAAATTTGATTTTAATAGTTTCGTATTTTTGATTTAATGTGGTATATAGCCTTAAATTAACATATTAAAGTAACTTAGAGTACTCTCAGCATTTATTTTATTTTAAAAATATCATTTTTATTATTTAACTTCTTTAGTTAAGTATAAATAATTTTTATTAACTAGATGAAGAATAAATTGCAAATGGGAATGGATTAGATCCTATAGCATAAGAAGCATTAAATTTTCAAATTATTTAAAAGCAAAGATAATAATATTACTAATAGCAAATGATAAAAAATTAACAGTTCATTCAAAGCCAAATATTGAATTAAAAATTATTTAATTAGTAAATGTAATAAAATTTATAGGGTAATCAAGATAATTTAGCAGTATCTAGAGTTTCTAGAAAAAATGCTGTTTCCTAATCACTTTAAAGATATTAAAAATAATCTCCATAAGCAAAAAATAACAGATCTACATCAATTACCAACCCTACAACAGTTAAAGTCAATAACAGGTATAATTTAGATAACTCTAAGCTATTATCACAAAAAAAAGAAAACTATAAAAAACTTAACTAAAATGGCTAGAATGTACCTCAATTTACAAATTTCTCAAATAACTCTACTTCTAACAAAAATTCTTCTAGTAATTTGAGGGTACTTCCAGATTTAAATACCTCTTAAAATCTAGGAAGTTTAAATTAGAATAATATTTAAATTTAGTAAAGCTACTAATTCCACAATGAGTCCAATTTTCCAGAGCCTAAAAAGTAACTAAATAATGTCAGCGAAGATCTTCCTTAATCATATCAAAATAGATACAAGCAACAGTAATTGCTTTAAGATTTATAATCTATAAATTTACTTATTTCACAAATACAGGTTTTAATTTTTTATTTTTATTAAATTCTAGAGCAATTTCAGGAAAAGAGAGCAACTAAGATAACTTAAATACTCAAATAAATGCTACAAAAAAGCAACAAATGATTTTTTAAAATAGAGAACCAATAAATTACAGAAATTAAAAAACAGAAGGGACAGAATAAATACAATAAAATATATCTCTTCCTTAAACTAATTAATCTTATTCATTTAGTAATTCTAAAAATATAGTCGTAAATGGAGGAAAGAAACAAAAATCACCTTATAATTCTATTTTGGGCTATCCTATACAATAAAAGAATAAAGCAAGAAGATTATCTAATATTTAGTTAGAAAATGATTAAGAAGATCCTTTCAGTCTAGATCAAAGCATACAAAGAATATATAAAGAATCAAAGGCATATTCGACTCAACATAAAGAAAATAAATAAATGGCAAATTTTAATCTTTCTTAATCTACAAAAAATTAGAATAAGGAAGATATTTAAATACCTCAACTTCAACCTTAAATTTAACCAAAAAATGAAAGCGGATTCTTCATCACTCCAACACAATGAATTAACTAAAAGCATTTATTTGAAACATAAAAAATAAAAAATATTTAATTTAAAAATGTATATTGTAAAAAAATTTTTATATTTTATGAAATAAATTTAAATATTAAATTATAATAAAGAAAAATAATTAATAAAATTTAACTAATTTATGCAAATGTAAACTATTGAAAAACAAACATCAAATTAAGAAAGTAAGTAGTTTTTTAATATGCTTTTATTCTATATTTTAATACAAATTATTTTATTTTAAGATATTTTTAAAAATTTATTTAACAGATTGACTGTTTATATATTTATATCATAGTAGACGATAATAGATACATACATAGATAGATAGATAGATAAACTATGAGATATAGTTTTTCAATTGAAAAGAATATAACTCAAGCTATCATTTGAAATTGGGTTTTTTAATTCTTTTAGGTTGTTAATATTGTTAGGGTTGTGTAAGAAGGGCAAAGGGTTTTAAATGAAATTTTTTTTCTGCTAGCAAGGATTTTTCATGTTTTTTTCGTTTTGCTTATCAATATCATCATCCCAATATCCCTTATCTGACAAGTAATTTGGTGTAAATTCAAGTATTTGATTATCTAAATAGCTTGCCTCTTCTCCGATGCTAGGCGAGGCTTCTAAATTAGGGTCATTTTTTTACTTTAAATTGCTAGGTGATAAATTTTACATATTTAAATTTGATTCCTAAATTATTTACTATTATTATTGATTATAATTCAAATTTAAATCTGGTGCTTAATGGTTGTTTATGTTGTAAAAGTAAATATAGTTAGGATTTATGAGATTTTCTTTCTTAGGTATATCATTATTTAAGCCAACAAAATTCAAAGAATAGTCAAATAAAGAAATTTGATTTTCATTGTTTTGAATTTTAGTTTCAGGTGGTTCGTTAGCATCAATTTTACAGTTTCCTAAATTTCTTTGTAGATTAAATGTATTTTTTAATTATTCTTCTGCTTCTTTTGATGCAAGATTCGTAATTAAGTCTTAGTTTTACTTCTGGATTTATATCACAGGGAAGCTAGAATTTTGCCAAACAGTTTGAGCTTAACTCTGATAATTTGTAGATTGACTTTAGTGAGCTATACTTTCATTACGAGAATATACATAATTTTTTAATATTGGTTAATCTAAATTTAAGTTATTCAAGTTTGGTTTAGCTTAAATCTCATTTAAACTAGAAGATTTTTAATAAGTACTAGGTTGTTGTATATTATCAGATATATTTTCTTTGTTATTCTCATTGGCTATTCTTAAGCTTGTTTCAAAATTATTTGATAAAAGGTTTTCTTTTTAGTCAAAGTTATTATTCTTTGTGTATTCATAAAGACTAAATTAATTTTGAGAGTCTTATCCATTTCTTTATCCAATCAAATTTTGAGTATTTTTTTCGTTATTAAATTCTACTTAATAAGCACTTACAACATCTTAATTTATCTAATAATTCATGCTTTGAATATTATTTTGTTTATTGCTTCTTTTTTAATGTTAGGTTATATTTTTTCTATATTCTTCTAATGGGTCAGGCAAACAATCAAATGGATCTAAAAATTTATTAATTTAATTTTTTTAAGTCTCTTAATCAATTTTTTCATTTTAATTTTCTATTTTGTCACATTTATTAGAAATTATTTCATTTATTTCTTTATCTTCTTCATTTAAAGGATAGTCTTTTACATAAAGAATATTTTCAACATTTTTTTACAAATTTAGAAAGATATTTGGATCCAAACTTTTATCTGTGTTTTATAAACAGAAGTTAGTTGCTAACAATTAATTATTATTATTAAAGTTCGCTTCACTTTTCATGACAAATTCAAAGTTATTAGAATTCACTCCTTGCATGCATGGCATTTCTTAGTCTATCTTTTATGAGCTTTATGAGTTTTAAAAATTAAATAATCCTTATTTAAAATCTGTAAAATTGTTGTCTATTACAATTTGATCACTAATTTATTTTTCTTTAAAGTCTTCTTTTTATTAAAAGAAATTTACAGCTCCTGAATTATTTTCAAAAGATGAAAATTTGTTTAAATTTATTTAACTAGGCTCAAGTAGATTTTCGAATTTATTATTATTGTTGTTTAAATTTAATTAATTTTAACAAATTTTATTACCTTAAAAGCTTGGAAATTCTTCTTGATTTTTATTTTTTTATTATTCATTGAGCAAAAAAACCTAGTTTTGAAAATTTTTTGATTGATTAGGAATACATTATTATTATAGATCTATTTTTTCCTAACACATAATAGAAACTTCTTCTGATTATTTATTTGATTTGTTTTCTAAATCAAAATTATAATTATTACTTTGAATATTAACTGATAGCTTTTATGTCTGATTGATTTCTTTTTTTTATTCAGAGGAGTCGAAGCTGCTCAAATTTTAAATTAAGTTCTATGATTTTAAATATTCTTGCACATAAAATTTAAAATTTTAATCATATTTTTTAAATATTAAAATTAAGTCTTCTAATAGCACCTTCTGCTTATTATCTGGAGACTTAACCAAGTTATATTTTATGCTCAATTTCAATATAAAATCAAAAAAGATAGAATGATCACCTTTACCCAAATATGTTTGCACAAATTATTAAAATAGAGTCTTATCCAAGCATCCAAAATTATAAGTAAACATTCTCTTGTTAAACTATTCAAAATCTTATTTTGAAAATTCAAGGAGCTAATAGAGTTTTGCATAATTTTCGTCACTAAGATTTTATTCAGATTATTCAGATGTCTTCTCAGAAATGTCACTTTTAAAATCAATATTTTGATTTATATTTTTTATAATGGCTTAATTTCCACTTTTTAAATCAAATTAGTATTTATTTTTATGATTAATTTAGTTTTCACTTTTTAATGACAATAAATTCTCATTATTTTACTATAAATTTAAATCAATTTTGTTTTCATTTTTATGATCATTTTCATTTTTTAACGAAATTTAGTTTTAATTTTATAAAACTTAGTTTTCATTTTTTTAGATAATTTGATTTTCATTTTTAAATGTTTTATCATTTACATTTCTTGAAGGAAATTTATTTTCATTCATTTAGAAAATTTAATTTTTGTTTTTTTATGCTACTTATTTTTCTGATTGCTGAGGCTTTAAATTAAGTTAATCTTTTTAAATTTCATTATCGCTAATAGTTGGATGCATTTCTTTTTGAGTAGAAGGAGTGAAAAGACAGCTTTAAGGAGCTTAGAAGTAATTGTCTTCAAATAATTCTTAATATGAAATTCTTTTAGTGGGTTCTATCTGAAGCATTTTTTTAATTAGACTTTTAGCTTTTTCTGATACGCTTATTTACTCTTAAAAACGTATTGGTATTTTTTTTATCTTTTCTAAAAGGTCGTACTGAGAAGTTACCCTTGGCCAAGGAGTGCATCCATAAAGTAGCTCATAAAAAATAATTCCAACTGACCAAATATCACATTTGCTATCCTATAATCATGAAAAAACGATTTAAAAATATTTTAATTAAATGAATTAGAAATTATTTTTATTTTTATGATATTGATTTTTTAAAATATTTAGTGATCACTTATTTGAAATTTATGTTAAAAAAATTTCCTACATGAAAAATAATCAAATTAAAATTGATTATTTTTCTTAAAATTGATAAAATAATCTGCGAAACTTTAATTAATATTTAAAATCTGATCAAAAAATCTTGAAGTCTGAGTTTCAGATTTACCAAAGCATTTTTGAAATCAAAATAATTTGCATTTTAATATATTTAAATATCAATAAGATTTCTTTTTAACATTTTATGTTTAAATATTTAATTAGTTTTTTAAAAAAAAGAATAGTAAATAAAATAATTTTGTTGCAATTTTTACATAAGGTTTTCCAAGCAATATTTGTGGGTCCATATACAAAGGTGTTCCAACTTAAGATTTTATCATATCTTGATTGTTTAATATTTTTGCAAATCCAAAATCAGCCAATTTATAAACAAATCCTTAAGGAGTCTAAGCTACTAATATATTTTCAGGCTTTATATCTCTGTGTACTATTGATCTTTAATACATTTCTTTTAAACCGCTCATTATTTATATCATAATCTATTTTGCTTTGTTTTCTGAAAACTTTTTCTCTTTTTAAATTTGTTGTTTGAGGTTACCAGCATTGCAGTAGTCTAAAATCAAGTAATAATTGTTATCCGAAATCAAAAACTCTTTAAGCCTAACTATATTTTCGGATTTCATCTACTTTTATACTCCTACTTCCTGGCGGAGAAGCTTTTCAAGGTAATCTTTCTTTCCATTAATTAAATTTTTGCTAATTTATTTAGCTGCCCATACTTCGTTCTATTTATCTGTACATTTGTATACTACACCAAATGACCCTGACCCAAGAATGTCTTTCATGCAAATTGTGTAGTCTCCAATTTACTTGATAGCATCTACAAATAAAAACTTTTAAATATAAGGATGATAAAGAAAAATAAAAAAACCTGATGCTCCTTTTTATGGTTTCATGAGTTTTAGGTATTATTTTTATAACTATAAAGAATCTAATAAGCCCTTATTTTGCGCAAATATTGTTATTCAAATTATTGTTATTAGATTATTAATTTAAAACACAATCTTTGTGATTTTTTAAATCTGTTTGAATTTTAATAACGAAAAATAGTCGCTAATTTAATCATCAAAGTTTTCTAATTTTATTAAAAACTTCTATTAAACTAAAATCCTAATTAAATAATGATAAATTTTAAATTCATAGAGAAAATTGAGATGTCAATTAGATTTTTATTTAAATAAGAAAAATATATTTTTTAAATATTTCAAACTCTTTTTTTAAAAAAATAGAATTATTTTATTTTATTTTTCTTTTTTATTTTTTATTTTTAGATATTTAAATAATAATTATTTTTTTTTCAGTAAATAAAATTTTTTCCAAAAATAAAAAATATTAAAGAATTATTTAAAAATAGAAAAATTATTACCAGCTCATAAATTTAATTTAATTTAACTTCATAAATAATATATTTTCTAAAATTAATTTAGGATCAAATTTAATTTTGTACTTAGCGAATCATTTATTTTAAATCAATTAAGTTATTATATTGTGTAAGTAAATTTTGTAAATATATTTTTTAAAGGAAATAGATAATGAAAAAAAAATTTGTTTACTTATTTTTTAAACATAATTATTAATTTTTTTAATAAAATTCATGATAAAAATAAGATCATATATGCACTTTATACCATATCTAATTAAACATAAAATGTTAATTGAAACTCTCTACTAACTAAGTATAATAAATAAGGTCAGAGTTAGGCTTTAAACTTTTATATTCTAATTATGAATATTAATATGTTTTATACATACTTTCCTTATTCATTATTTACCTATCATTTCTAATATAAAATATAGAATTTATTTAAAATAATCTTTATTAAATGATGAAAAAAGTAATTGAGTCATATTTTATATAATTAATATAATGTTACCTTCCTAAAATTCCTAATTTAAAGCTGATAAAGAGATATTTTTTGTATGAAAATATATTTTTCAAAATAGGCTATAAATTTATATCATACTGAAAATTAATTTATTAATTTTTCTTTAAAATTGAATAAGGCAATCTAAAAAAATAGATAAAGTAAGTGAGGATTATGATAAATATGTAATATGAAATTGTATTACGCATAGTAAAGCTAAAATGTCAATTTTATAAATTAAAACTTTCTTTAGAAAATTTGCGGAATAAAAAGAGAGTAAAAACCTCTTTTTATAATGTTTTCATTCAAAAAAATTAATGTTTCGATTTATTATCAACAAGATTGAAATTTATGTGCGTTATAATTGATATAGCACATTATGAATATACCTGACGCAATTAATAGGTAAGTAATTAAATTTCTAAAAATCTAAAAGTAATTCCTTCTTTTATTTATATGCCACTATTAAAACCAAATAATATTATCTAAAAAAAAAAAAGTTAAAATAAATCTAAATAGCAATATTATTAAAATAATAATAGCACAAAAAACTTAAGATAAATTTATTAGCCAAATAAATGTCAGGTTCTGATTCAGATAACAAAAGGCCTACAAGAAATTTAAAGTCAGTCATAGGATCTACCTTTTTTGCAATTTATAATTTCCTTCCTGTATTGATGGTTTATATTTATTACAAAGCCATCACAGGAAATTTAATTTGCATAGCACTTTCAATTATATAAATATATGCTTAAGCAACTGCCAAAAAATCTACTTTGTATAGAAAGTTTTTAACATACTTCTCAGCTGAATACTTTTTTGATGAATACACTCTTAAGAAAGAAGAAGAACTTGCACCTGAAAAAACTTTACTTGCTGTTCATCCTCACAACGTTTACACTGTTGGTTTGAGCATACATGACTATGCAGGCAGACTTGGTAATTAACTTATTTGTGGAAGTAGAATGCTCCTCTACACTCCCTTACTTGGTTTGGTTCATAAGTGGGGTGGAGTTACTACAGTTGATGCTGCTAACTTGAAGTCATTAATGTCCAAAAACAAAAATATTAGTATTCTTCCTGGTGGCTTTGAAGAAGCAACTCTTACCACTCCTAAAGAAAATAGAGTCTTTATTAAAAATAGAAAGGGATTTATTAAGTATGCTTTGAGATATGGCTATAATGTACATCCTGTATACATATTCAATGAAAATAAAATTTTCTACACCCTTGAAAAATTCGAATAATTCAGATTACTCCTCAACAAGCTTAAGTTAGTAGGTGTTATTTTCTGGTCAAGATTTGGATGCATTCCTGAACCTTGCTCTAAAGTTAATACTGTTGTAGGAAAAGCAATCAAGATGCCTAAAATAGAAAATCCTACAGATGATGAAGTAGATAAATACCATGAAATCTATGTCAATGCCCTAAAGGATTTGTTTGATAGAAATAAAGCTTTATATGGTTAAAAAGATGAAGTCCTTAAAATTTACTGAAATTTTATGAAAATCAATTAATATATTAACAATTTTATTAATAAATGCTTGTTAATCCTGCATTATATTTACTTTATACCTTGGTTTGAATTTTAATTAATTTTATCAAAAAAAATCTTTTGTTTAAATTGATATTAAATTTTAATTACTGATCAATATAAGATAATGAAAATTAAATGTGCAAAATTTATTTCGAGCTTAAAAAAGTATTCTATTTCAACCTAAAATTAAAAAGATTTTCATTATAACAGAGGAATTTAAGTGGCATTTGGCAAAAATATCTTTTTTTAGTGATAATATCTCATTTTTAGGTAATTCATTTAATAAATGATGATAAACTCCATACTTATAGATAGTTAGGATTATTATGTTGTATTATTTATGAAATTACATAATTTTATGATTTCTTTATTTTCTTTTTTTAATAATTTCTAAATATTCCATAGAATGAATATATTCATTATTTGTTCTTTATAAAAAAAAACAAATTACTATCAATTCTTGTATTAAAAAAAAATCAGGTCCCACTGGGATTCGAACCCAGGTCAAGGGATTTAAAGTCCCCAGTACTAACCACTATACTATGGAACCGGTTCTAACAATCTACTATTTTAAATTTTATACATTTTTTAAAATGTAATTTTATATTAGAAAATAAAGTTTCTTAATTTAAAATTTAAAATATAAATTAAATGTGGTTGATTGAGCTTTAATTTATTGGAGTAATATTATTTTTATAACTCTGAGTTATTTAATTACTTGATAACTTAAAATTAATTATAATAGATTTTATCTTTTTCAAAATTTATAATCAATTATTAAAATTAAAGTTTTATTTGTTATCAAATTTTATTTTTTATTAAGTTAAATTAAAAAGTAAAAAGGTTGTCGACACTGGGACTTCCCAAGCGGTCCCCCACCTTAGTACTAACCCAGCCTTAAGGCGCTTAACTTCGGAGTTCGAATGGGATCCGGTGTTTTCACCTTAGTATGGCCGACAACAAAATATATAAATATAATAATAAATATAAATATAATTTTTTTAAGCCATTTTTATTTTATAATAAAAAATATTTTAAATTTGTATTATTATACACTTATGAGTATACTTTGTAAGAATTTAGAGTTTTTTAATTTTTAATATGGTTGGTCTAATGCAAAAAAAAATCAAAAATTGTTCGAATTTATAGATCCATTTTTGTAGTTAAAACTAATTTATGTATTTAATTAATAATCTAAGAGATATTTAGTGATAAAATTAATTCAGAAAACAAATCCAAATAAATGATTTAAAATATTTCTTTAAATGTTGAAACTATATTTGTAAAAGCATTTAAAGCAGAAAGATGCTTCATTTTATCAAGCATTTCTAAAAGATAATATTTTAGTTTGTATAGAAAAAAAGCTCATATCAGAAATAAATGCACTAGGGATAGATGAGTTAACTATTAAAACGGATAAAAAAACTATAGTGAATATAGAAAAAACAGATTTATGATTAACTAGCGAATTATCACACAGTAATTTACATAGAAAAATTGAATGATGAAATCTTATTTTTATGATAACATGCAATTTTTATACTTAAAACTTTAAAAGTTCAAAATAATTACGATTGAGTAAACATTTTATTCGTTTAAAATTTATCTTTTTTATTTCAAAGGAAAATGTTATCTGTTTTAAAGTTAATATTAATAAACTTAAAAAATATATTTACTATTTCATTGTAAAATTGAATCATAAATTTTTGGTGTTAATCAAATAAATTTTAGACAAATATCTTTCTATATGATTAAGTTTCTTTAAATAGGATTTCAAACTGATCAGAAAGCGTAAAAAAGAGATTATAATCTTCTATATCTAAGACACAATAAAATAATGTAATAAGATAATCATTATAAAAATTAGTTCGCAAATTTAGAAAAAAAATAAAGATAATTAATTATTAATAACATTAAAAATAAAATATCAAAGAATACAACCTAATCTATCTAAAAAATGGAGAATAAAGAAAAATCAAATTAAACAAAGCAAATTGAGTTTCTTTAAGAGCTCTTTAGCAAATCTTCTTTCTCAAAGACATGGTAGTTGGAATATTCAACTTAAAAGCTTTGGTCAACTAGTTAAAAGTATATAGATAGGAGAACTTTGAAAATCTCTGTAAGACCTTAAAATGAAGAAGAGGTAAATGAGCTCAATGAAATTGAAAAAAAGGTATATTAATAAGGCAGTGCTTAACCAGATGTTTATTCTGACCTTTAAGAAACAGAAATTGATAGAGGCTTAGCTGTTGGAGAAAAATTCCCACACTATTCAAAAGTCTTAAGCGTTGCTGATGAATCTGAAGGAGAAATAAAGCATCAAGAAGGAGAAGTAACAAATTTTTTATAAATAGCTATTTCATATAATTTAAAATTTAAAATTATTGATAACAGGTTATTCTTTTAGATGTCTGGGCTACTTGGTGTGGACCTTGCTAACGTCCTATGTAGCATAATTAAGATATGCTTACTAAAAATGAAGAAAAATGGGCAGGAAAGGTAAAAAAAGAAAATGCTTGATTTTAATCTCTAAAAATTCTGATATAATTAAAAAAGGTTAGAATTATTGCTGTTAGTGTTGATGAAGACAGAAAAGATGTACAAGATAGAATAAATCAAAGAAATTGGGATAAGATCACTCATTTTAAGTTAAATGGGTGGGATGCAAGTCACCCTATTATCAAAGATTTTTCAATCTAGGGTATTCCTTTTGTTGCATTGGTTGATAAGTAAGGAATCATCAATTACACAGGACATCCTTCTGGCGTTAATTTAGAGGAAAGAATTAATAATTTATTAGAAGATAAGTCTGAAAGTTAAGCCAAAAATGTAAAGTTTTTTCATTTTTTTTATTCATAATTTAATATCTATCAATCAAATTTTAGTAATAAATGAATTCAGAAAAGTACAAATTAGTAAAAGAGTTTATCAAACATAAATTGGGAGCATATTTAGATTCTTAAGATAAAAAAGAAGTAGACTTTACTTTCTAGCTTTCAGCCTCCAAAAAAACATCTATGAAGGATGGTCAAAAAGTTAAAACCTATTCAGAACCTTCAATAACTCTAGTTGCTAATAAAAAGCAGGTTTAAAGCTGGTAAAAGCTAAAAAATCATGTGACACAAAGCTTAAAAAATATAACTTTGAAATACGATCAGGAATCGGTAAAATTAACATTTCGATTATCTAAATACAATTTAAAATATTATTTAAATTTATAAATAGATAAGAGATATTCAAGTAGAACTTAAAAAAGATATGGAGGCTCTTTCTAAAATTTATGAAAAATTTAACATTAAATCAATAGAAAATAAACATTGTGTAAAACTTAGTTTACAATTAAAAAATAATAGATTATAGTTCTCCAGAGCAGATTGTTTTAACTAGCATAAAAAACTATACTTGAAAAATGAAGATCCTGAAAAAGTAGCACTTTCAGCTGATGAATAATAAGATTTTGCTTTAAACAAATACAGGTCAGGTTAATACGCTGATTACTTGCAAAAGATGTTCTATAAAGGTATCCAAACAATTGAAACAGAATTTTAAAAGCCTCAAAGCCACGAAGATATTTACAGAAAGTACAAAGATCTTTTTAATGATAAATCTATCTAAGAACTTAATTTTAACTTCAATCCTGACTACAATTGTAATTTGCAATTATATGTAAAGAGGAGAAGGGTTTTTGATTATAAAGGATAAATGAAATGTAAAAACTTTATAATTTTTTTATTCTTCATTAATTTAACTTATATTTCATAAAAGATAAATATTACAGTAAGCCAGTTTGCAAGTATGTTGTTAGAGAGAAAGATGTTGAAAAGTTTTAAACTGAAGTTTTAGATAAAATTTTTGTCAAATTTGACAAAAACGAAATCGTTTTTAGACCAGAAATTTTAAAAGCCGCCTAAATTGAAGAAGGAAAGAATTGTAAATCATGCAATTTAGAGCTGACTCTCCCATATTACTTTAATTATTTCTAGAAAGAGCATTATTGCATAGCGTGTGGTGATAAAAGAGACCCTGAACTTAAAACTCTACAATAATTTGCTGTTCCTCATAATCTAGTTTTGTTAACAACAAATGAAAAAACTTTTTTAAATGTAAACATTTTTCAAAATTTTTAAACAAACTCTTAAATTATTATTCTAAATTATGCAAAGGATGTTGATGAATATAAGCTTGGTAAAGACGTTTAACCAAAACCGGATTAAGAGATTGAATTCGAATTCGGCTATTCTTGTAACGGATGCAGTGAAGGAGGAAAAGATGCCAGATATATCTGTCTAAATTGTCGTCCAGGTCCTTATAGAGATGGAGGATTCACTGATTTTTGTTAAGATTGTATCAAAAAATAAGTTTTTGATAAAGATGAGTAATTCATGAAATAAATTCAAAAAAGAGATACTTAACATAACTTCAATCATATATACTTAAAAGTTATTACTCCTATTGGAAATTATAAAGATTATTGAAATTATTTTTAACATAAGATAGTTAATTTCATTTGCATATAAATAGTATTTTTTTAAGTTAACTATATTTTGAAATTAATTATTGCCAATTAAACTATCTATCTATACTTAGATAATTATTAATAATTCTTATTATTTTGTAAAGTTTCTCATAAGATTAAATTCATTTTTATTTGTTTATTTATTTATTTATTTTTTAAATAAAAAAGATTGAATTTATTTTTATTATTTATTTGTGGGAGGGAAAAAAATTATATTTTTGATTTTCCTTATTTAAAAATTATTCCTAATATATATCACAATTCTATCAATTTTATCAAAAATATCAAATATTAAATTAAAATACTCAATATACATTTTTTAAAAATAAAAAACCCTAAAAAATTTGAAATGATAAAAATTTAAAAAATATTAAAAATTAAGCACTTTAAAACAGTGATAAAAAATTTTGCTTAAATTTTTCCTCCTAATCAAAAAATAATTCTTATTCTATTACCATCCTTATTAAATATTAATTTAAGAAAAAAATATTTTAAATAATTTTTAAAAGTTTAAGAGAATGTATGTTTATAAATCTTACTAATTAAGGTATTTATCAATAAATAATTTACTTACAAAAATAACCTTTATAATAAGAACTTAAGGTTAGGAAATAATATAAAATGATTGTTTTAAACTTATTTTTCACTTTATTTTAAAAAGACTATTTAATTAACCTACATTTTGGTTATTTTATTCAAAAACAAAACAAAGAATTTAATTTGTAATCATTTTAATATTAAAAATTATTAAGTTGAATAAAATATAAAAAATTGAAGCAAATAAAATCAACATAATTATTTCTGTTTACAAATTAAATTCAAGAAAATAAATTTTTTAAATTTTATTTAAAAACAAATATTTCAATAATAATAAAAAAAATAATACCAACTGAATATACAAATTAATCATTTTTATGATTAAAGTATTTTTTTATTTTATTTTTCAAAAACTCCATCATGAAATGTTGACTAAATAACCCCATATTTTGAAGCTACATCTTCTTAAAACTAATCAGCATTTTCTTAATCATTTGAAGAGACATCTTAGTCGTTTTCAATATCTTATTGCTCTAAGAGCTCATCTTATTATGGGAATAATACATTTTCAATAGAATTTTTTTTTTTCACATTTATTACATTAGATAAATCTATTGTTTTATTCGGTGTTATTTAAGAATTGTTAAATAATAGTTATTTATCTTATTTATTATTTTGATTAAAGAACTATTTATTCTATTTGATTGGAGACAATGTTGAATTTTGAGAAAAACCCTCTGAATTTCGATGATTCTAGGTTTTTAAATTGGTTGACTTTTTCTCATACCTACTTTTTTCTTTAAATAAAATATAATTATTTAGTTAATAATAAATTTAAACTATTAATATTACCTATTGTACTTTTTTTACTTTTTAAATTTAGAGAAATTTATTTTTCTTAAATCAAAAAATCAAGACTTGCTCTAATTCTTTTCCACCTAAGAAGTGATCTTATAGATATAGTATTTTTGATAAAAAATGTAGTAGTCTTCTCTTTTCCAATAACTTTTGAAATCAGAAATCTAAACATTTTCCCTAAATAAGAATACTGACTCATTAGTTTTTAGTAGATAATGGTATAAATTATATAAGATATAAAAATATAGTTAGCAAAAACATATAAAATTTCAAAAATAGGATTTTCCATTTAGGTACTTAATTCTTAAAGCCCAATCAATAGCAAAATTGTCATGAAAGAAAAAATTTCCATATTTTTTAAATTTATTCTATAAAAGGGGTTTAAATGAGTAACCAGGTTAACGTAAATAGTTATAATAAAGCTTATTAAAATAACAGCAGTCACTTTATTATTTTATAAGAAGGTAAAAATGAGCACAATTAATATTTTGACGTAAATTCTGATAAACTCCCAATAAAAAAATTATTCTTTAAATTCAGTATAATAATAACCTAATTTCAGTTTAACTGAGCACCAATTTAACTTTTTTCTTCCTTTAGCAAGAAAATATAAAGGTATTAATGGAAAAAGGATACAAAAAATTAATGTTGGAATGGTAAAGAATTTGACAAATCTATCATACCCAGGATCATCGCAACTAAATAATGTGTCATTAGCAAATACATTTAGTGAGCCTACTTATCGACAAGTTAAAGATTTTGAATACAAATTTAAAGAATCAGGCTAAAAAAACATAAATGTAAAACTTATAAGTGTATATTTATGGTACTTTCCTACATTATAAACTCTAAGCCTTTCTAAAATAAAAAATATTAAAAGCGAGATTAATAGGACAGTAGGAGGTATGAAGCATTGTGTAATTTATCTCAATCTTCCTGTACCGTAATTTAAAATATATCTTTATGGATAAATGCAGTTTATATCTATTGCCAGATTTCCCATAGAATTACCTAGAAAGCTTGGCCCTACTAAAAATACACTAGGGAAGATTTTTGCTTTTATTGTCAATAAAATTGCATTTAATTACAAATAGCTGATCAAAATTTTCATAAAGAAGCCAGATTATTCTTTTAATGAGCTCATAGAAATTGGAAGTAAGTAACAATTTCTAATATAGTAGCTTTGTTGGTAATGAATATAGCTATTCATAAATGATAAAACTTAGAATACTACATATATAAAAATAATGAGTCCTAAAATAGAAATATATATGATCTAGACATGAAATTCACTGCATTAGGAACAAAAGTATTTTTAGGATGAGTCAGTATATCTATCCTACCATAATTTTCCTTGAGTGTCACAGAAATCACACACAGGGCCAATATATCCCTTCAAACACCCTTATTTATTTTATTTGTCTTCAGGGATACAAGACGATTCATTATTCAAACACTAAAGAATTTCATCGGTTAATTCTGAAACTCTCCAGTATCCATTTTTTAGTTAAATTTTTTTACCATAGCAAGAAACTGCTGAGTCTGGACACTTTTTGCAAATTATATTATCAAGCGCAGTTGGATTTTATTGTAAAGTTGATAAAACATTTAAGCTTTGTGACTATACATCAGTTAAAGAATAAAAACCATTTGGACATTGATAACATTGTATAATATTATTATTTATTTTTTTGAAGATTTCTCCAGTGTAGCATTCCCTAAAATTGATATATATATTCAGACTTACTGGGTCATATATCTAATTTGTTTAGTAAATAAGAACAAATTAATTTTTTGTTGAAGGGACTCCACTTATCTAAAGACCTTTTTTTATAAACGCAAACTTACTTTCATCATATTAATTCAGGTTTACTAAAGACTAATCGCTTAGATAAATTGAATTTTATGATAATGAAATAGGTAACAAAACGAAATTTAGTTGTTTAAGATCGTTTATGATAGATTAAACATAATTTTGATTGAAAAAATCAATAGTAGAGATTTTCAATACTTAGTTTTCTTCATCTAAAAATTAAAGAGTAACATTTAAGATACCTCCGCTTTAAAATTTATCTATATTTATTTACACATTTGAATTATTTACACCAGCATTGCGCGGATCTATAATTTAAGTATCAATAAGGGTATTTTCAGTTTAAAAGACTATCCGAGCTCTAAAAGGATAGCTGGCTATGTTGTTTCCATATATAAGTCCTTGATTTTATAAAATTTAAGCTCTAGTTGAAATCTAATAATTTTCTTTAATATATTGCTCGCTTACTTAATTGCTAAATATGAATCTAATTCCTCCACCTATTTATGCAACATTTTATTTGATTATTGAATTTTAATCTATAACCATTTTTTAAACATTTTTTAAGAAGATAGAACCTCCACTTCCATGAGCAGTGTTGTTAATAAATTATGAGTTAGTAAGATTAAGTTACTCACTAATTTAATTTGCATAAATAGCACCACCATTAAAGCAAGTGTTATTGTAAAAGAAACTTTCTTTTATAGTAGCATTAAAGCACGAACTAATCTAAATATTCTCTAAATTAAAAGAAAATATAATAGAATCTATTAATATATAGGAATTTTGCAAAAGTATCATTGTGCTTTGTTCTCCATTAATTTTTAAGAATTACTCAGAAAACGTATTATTTAATATAAGGGAATGACTTAATGTTAAAATGTCATTTTCAAGATAAATTATTTGATCAGCCATAGTTTAAATATTTGATGAGGAAATTAAGTTTACATTTAAATTATTTGAAGCATTTAAATTTGTTATATCAATTAATCTTGAGCCAGATATTTACATCAAGTAACCTAAACTAAAAGTAGTATTTAGAGAGTGTTAACCGATATTATTATTTATTATTATTGTATCTATATAAATCTAATCGCATGACTCAAACTAAAATAATTAAGAAAAAGTACTATTGCTTATTGTTGAATTTTTTATGAAGACCTGCTAAACATTTTAGATAAAAAATATTGGGTAATTATCTTTTATGTTAATGTTTTTTATAGTTAACCCATAAATGTTAAGAGTTGTGCAGTTTGAGATAAATATTAAGTTTTGAATTATTTCTCCTTATGTTGATATTACTGAAGATGTAAGATTAACTCCATCTATCATTAAGTTTTGTATGACAACATTTCCCTAATTTGTTATATATAAGTTTATTTATGCAATATCTTGATTTTAAATATTAATATTTTATAAGATTACTTTATCTTTTAACTGATTAAATTGATAAATACCTTTTTATGTAAAATTAAAAGAAAAGCAATTAATCATCACATTATTTTTTAAATTTAAAAATGAATTTGTATTTAAATTCAGTGAACTCTAACAAGGTTTAATTTAATCATTATTTGCAGCTTAAGGATTTACTATTACTTGAACTGAAGTACCTTCAATTTAGTTGAAAATATCTAATGAATCTGCTATTTAGTAATAAAATGAGTATTATAAGTCTAGTTCTAGTAAATATACTTGCTAAAACTAAAGGAAAGCTTGTAAATGGTTCTAGCTCATCAGACTATAACTGCAGTATTGACTACCTGACTATATTAAATCTATGCTATAATAAATTTCACTAACTTATTAAGAGCTAAAAAAAATGATTTGTAATACTGTTTGTTAATTAAAATTTACTATGACTTAACTATGAATCAATTTTACAAATTAGCCAGGAAAAGTATCTATGAATTAGTAGGAAAAATTTAAATTATTTAACATAAATATGTCAATATTATCTGTATAACAAATTATTAAGTATGTATCTTAAATTAAGGTAATTGTATCTATTGTATTAGTTCTGCTATTTTTTTAAATATACTAGATAAATTTTAAAGTATCTCTTGTATACATATTTAATTAGTAGGCTGTATAAAGGATTATCAAATTATCTCCTACATGAATTCTGTTGTAGTCATCACTCCCATAAGAGAGATATTTTATTATTTTAAAATTACTTGCATCAAGCACAAATAATTTCTATTAGTCTTAAAAATTTACGTAGAACCTGTTGAATAAATTATCATAAAATGCGTTACTAAACTCATATTAATTTTAATTATTGGTGTAGCTTGATTAAAGAGTAAGAATAGCCTAGCTAACACTATTTTCATATAAATTTAAAATGTTTCCATTACGATAAAAGGCGTAAATACACTAACTTGTATAAATTATTCTTATTACTTAATCATTTAGCTATTGAGAACTCGTTAAATCTTTTACTTATAAAGATTATTAATAATATACGTAGATTTAGCCTGTAAAAAACCCAATGATTAACTTATTTTCAGAAGAAATATATTGAAAATCATTAATAATATTTTAAGTTTTATCAAATTAGAATGAATAAATCTCTTTGTTATTTACGAAATCATATTAAACTAACTTATTATCATAAGTAAAAAATGTAGAACCTCCTAAGTATTACTTATACGTGTAATTAGTAATTATATTTTGTTATATCATTTGAATTGTTGTCAAGCTTGTAGAGAGATTAGGTTAAAAAGTTATTATTTATTTTCTAAAAGCAATGATAACTATTTATTTGCTCTCGCTGATGACCCAAATATCTAAAATCTTTTCATTAAATCTAAGAACTTGTACCAACTAAAACTTATTGTATTGATAAACTATGTTAGAATAGTCTAAAATTAGATAATAATTTTCACCAGAAAATTATATTTGAGCATATTAAAATGTAAAAGTGTTAAATAGCTGTATGTAAGCTAGTTACATTTAAGAAAAATCGATTTTGTAAGCAGAAAATTAATCAGAAACAAGAATTGAATTTATCTCCGAATTAAAATCCATTCCAATAGGGCTTGAATGAGGAAATAAATAAGAAAAATTGGAAGTATTGTCTTCAGATAAATTTGAGTAAATGACTTTACCGATATTCCCTTCATAATCTAAAAAAACCAATTAAGATATGTAGCTGTCAAAATATAACTCAACTATTAAATTTTGACTATTAAAATTTGCTGTTGAAAAGGCCCCTACATTGCTCATTGTTTACAAACTATAAAAATAAATTTATCCATATCTTATTGAAGTTGTAAAATAGGCTATCATATTCACATCTTGAATATAAATAATCTTTAATATTTAGACAGCATCTGGAGAATAAAAATTAGTTAATACCATCATACTCTTGTAATCACATATCATAATTCCTATAATTAATTAATTTATAAATATCATCTTAAAATTTTATTAGAAAATTTAGATAGATATCGAAAGTTTGTAAGTATGTATTTATATATATGTATTTACCTGCGTTAAACTTGGCTAAAATTTTATCTCCGAATTAATAAATAACTTCTATCACATTTTAAGACTATGCCTCTAATTGACCTTTTTAAATACCTTAATAGTTGTAGATTATCAATTGTAAGTTATATGCAAATATCCTTTAATATGTTTGGTCAAAATAAATATTAAATGTGTTTGACTAATTCAATACTTCAAAGTTTATGATAATATTAAATGAAGATGGGTCAATCATAACTATATTTTAAGGCTCCTATTTACACACATAAAATTAAATTCCAAAAATGCAATTTGATATTACCTTATCTTACAGGACAGTTTAAATTTTTTATAATTATAGGGAGTAAACTTAAAAACCTTAACCATGTATCAATATATTTTAATCACTAATAAAGGCTCCATAAATTTTTTAATCAAAAGTTTGATAGTACTTTTTAATATTCTGGTAATCTCTTACAATTATTTCTTATGGTTTTAAAAAAAGTACAATCTAAATTTTATAGTTCACAGTATAGATGTTACACAAATTATTTTGGTCATTAAAGATGATAATTTCTTCTTATTCATCGCTATGTATATTATAAACGAATACATTATAAGAAAGTATGAAGTACCTTTCAAGTCTTAAACTCTAAAAAAATTTGTTAATAGGCTAATTGGATGGGCTTATATGAACCTATTTAGTATTATTTTAAAACAAGGTTACTTATCCAATATACCCGCTTTAAGTTCCAATGTAATTGTTGATAGCATATTTATTATTTATATTTATGTTTGTTGTACAAAACTAATAATACAAATCTGGAAATTCTCCAAAGTACAAATATTGGAGATTTATATTATAGACTACAGGATATACTAACGAAACAATTGTTAAGGGCATTAATGGAGTTATTAAATATAATTAATTGCCTTGAGAATCTTCTTAATAAATTATATTTATTATTTAAGTTACGTAAGGTAATTTAAAAACAAAATATGGTGAAGGATTTGATTAAGAATAAACATAAACTTAACACTTTTTAAATTCTTTTTAATCATCAATATACCCTAGTACCATGTAATCCTCTCTATCACTGTTAGAAGGAAAATTAAGGTCAATGACGTATAAAAATTGTTTTATTTAAATCGAGTAGTCTACAGTTAAGTTTTAAGATAGTAAAAACAATTGCTACTTTGAGTCGATAAAAACACTTTTACAAGTAAAATCACTATAAACTCTAAATTTTATTATTTAGATGTTAGTGGTATGAGTATAAGAGTTGATTAATTTAAAAGGCTAGTCAATCTAACTAGTATCTAGCTATTAAATTAAAGTGCCTGAAACTGTTATTAACTAATTATTTTCTTATAAATAAATTTAATTAAGAGATTGATAACTGGTTAAGCACTAATTTAACACAATTTTTAATTAGTTATCATATTTTATCAGACAATTGTCTTTATTTATAATTAAAAACTGGCTGTTAGCTGTAATTAGAGATGATGATTATTAATAACTTTTTATTAAATTTTATTAATTATATGGATTATTAAGGTCATAAATATGAAATTGGGTTTAACAGTTTTAAAATATATATCTGTTATTGAAAATCATCATTGAATAGCATATGTCTTGTAATACATCAAAAGATATAAAAATTTCTCCTCTATACCTACTCAATAATTGCCAAACAATAATTTATCCATCGCTTGATGCAGAAATTAAAAACTTTTCATCGCTTGTTTACGCGATTTTGATGACACTTTACTAATGAGAAGGATAATTAGCTTAAAAGTTTTTTAAACTAAATAAACTATCAGAAATATTAGGATCTATTACTTGGCAATCATAATTATAGACCAAAACTATTGGAGAGCTATCTCCTTTAAAATTTACTTAAATTCTAAGAGGGTCAGATATATAAATTTATATATTCTTTTTTTATTAAAATTTTACGTTTTGGTTACTAAATTCCAATTAAAAAATTGAAAATTAAGAAGAAGCATCAAGAAAATATAACTAGTAAAATGATGTTACTTAATTTATCTCCACAACTTCAAAATCTAACAAAGTATTTGTAAAACTTTAAGAATTTATCAAACTAAAATTAGGTAATGAATATACCTCAATTTTCTGCGAATACATTATAAAAAGAGATTATTATGATTTTAAATACTTGATATTCATGAAAGAATCAGTTATTAATGATTGTTAACAATTTTAGCTTTACGAATCAAATTGATATATATTTTTATTTTCAGTAATAGTAAAGATTATTAAATGTTCACTAATCTTAAAGAGTTAATTTATTTATTTTAAATTTTTTATTGCATTACATTACATATGTTAGCTTAGAATTAATTAAAGATAAAGCTAGCTTGTTTAGTTATTAATTTGTAATTCATAAAAATTGAAAAGTTAATTTTATTCTTAAGTTATTATCAAATTAGGTTCTATCAAAAGCAATTTCTAATTTCTAAACTAAAAATTTATAATATTTGTGCTTTTTACATTAGAGTATGTAAATATATTAATATACTAGCTTGACTTTTACTCGTCGTTAGAAATAATTAAAGCTTAATTTTCATCAATAATTAGAAATTAGAACTCGCTAAAATTTTATCCACTCTATAGGCGAAAAACTGTAAGTTGAGATCCATTTATAATGTCAATAAGTAAAACTATTGAATTTTAAAGATCTATTTTAAACATATTCTGGTTGGATAATACTATTACCTCACTTGTTAAATACTATTAGCTAATAATATATTACCCATTAGCTAAACTAAAAAAGTTATACTTATCATCATAAATAAGACAAATAAATTAATTCATATATAAACCAATTTAGTTAACTGTTACAGCTTCGTTAAAATTCCCTATTTAGTTCTCTAAAGAACACTGGTAGACTTGGTTACATGTTGATGAGATGTAATCTGCAATTCCATTTTAATCACATATTGCAACACAATCATACAAACTCTAGTTTGAACTTGTTTATTTCTACTCTGCTAAGAGATTAGAATCGCATTTAGCGTACTTGCAAACTTTATTTGCTTCATCAAAAACAAAACCTTATTTGCAACTTTAGCATATTGATGCTGATATGCATTCGTTACACCCAAGTCCACATCCTATATCTAAATTGGCATGTGTTAAATTTAAGACAATTTTAAAAACAAAATATGTTGCTAAAAAATAACTAGAACTTTTAACCATATGCTTCTATATTCTTTCTATATTTCAGTTTAATTAACTTTTTTTTGTTTTTTATTTTTTTTAATGTATATTTTATTAATCCAGTGCAATCTTCATTGACATTTAAATTAACATCCATTAAAAGACTGCAATAAAATGAAACAAAAAATTAATTTCTCTAACACCTTAATATCACTAAATTTTGAATAAATTGTAAGATTTTATATAATATATAAAAATTTTGCTTATTTCTAAAAGTTTCCCTATTAAAAATATAAATATTGAAAGCAAAAAGTATTTGATATCCAATTAATTTAAATTCTATTACAAAAAACAGAAATTTAATATCAATAAGACAAAAGTGCAAATAATATATTTATATGTATTAATACATTGATAATATTAATTAGTATTAAAGAGTATGAAAGTTAAAAATCTAAAGATGACATTTAAATAGGATAAAATGTGATTGTTAAAATATGTAAATGAAAATAAAAATATGAATTAAAATAAATTTTAATTTAAAAATGCTAAACATAAAGTATTTAAAATTGGCTGAATATTTCTTTATTTTAATCACCTTTAGATTTTAAAATAGTTTTAATTAAAATTAAACATTAAAAAATGTTATTAATCTAATCTAAACATTAATTTCATAAGATTTTTATAAAAGCAAAATAAAAATTTTGAAATTACATTTACACTAAATATATTTGATAAATGAATAGTTTTTATTTTAATTAATCAAAATAAAAATTGATAACTTCACAATAAAAACAAAATTAGATTAAATTAATAAACACAAAGAAACAAATAAGTTCTTAATTGCAAATTAGTTAATAGAAATATTTTATTTACTTATGAAAATATTTATAACAATCTCAAATAATTTATTTTATATATATTATTAATTTTTTCTTTTATTTTATTGGTGTTTGTGAATTAGTTTACAACTCCCATTTTTATTTTTAATATTTTTAATATCATAGTTTAATTTTGTTTTTTGATATTAACATCAAATATAGAAAAATTATGCTTATACATATAATTTACAATTAACTATCATAATTTTGCTAATTATAGTTAATAGGATCAGAAATAGATTATGTCAATCCTTGGTTATTTTAATAATAAATTAAATGATTTTATAATAATTTAGACAATTTTACCTATTGACAAGCTACTGTAATCATAAATGGAGACAAATCTTCTCATAAAAACATCTCCTAAAATAAATTAAACATCGTCATCAATAGATTGACTTTCAACGCCCAAATAGCATTTATTACTTTATTTAAAAACATAAAAAGATGAGGGAACAGAATAAACCCTTTAAATTCCTTCTTTATCAGGAAGAACAAAATTCAAATCAGGTAAAGCTCTACTACACTTTACAGTGTAGTAAGATCCATACAATGAAAGTTTTTATTTTACATCATAATTTTCTTTTAAGTGCTTTATCCAAATTTAGTAGATATCTTTTCTTATACAAATAGTAGAAGTTCCAGAGTCTACAATAGCTATGTTTTTGCTCGTAATAGGAATCTAAATCTCATCAAAAGAAATAGAGCTTATAAGCATGCTCCAATCTTAATCATTGTTCTATTCTTCATTTAATAGAATAGGGTGGTAATAAATCTTATTTTCATCTTACATTTTATTTGAGTCATAACCTCCAATGACTAGTTCTGACTCATTTTCTCCAAAACCTAGATAAAAACTAAATTAGCTTTTTTAAATGATTCCTTATCTGAATAGAGACTCAACGTAAGGGATATTCTTAGAATTATATTAATCATAAACTCCTAGCCCCATTAATCCATCTGTCTAAATAAAATAAAATAAAACATTAACAAATAAATTTTCATCTAAAAATAAACTTAACTTCTAAATCTTTATTTTTGAAAGATTGCTCTACAATTAGAACAGAATTTGTAATAGGCTATAAATTTGAGATACTTATAGGTACGTTTGCTATATAACCTTTCACACTAGATCCATCCTCGTAGCCAATAGAAGCAGGAATACCTGTTTAAATACATCCGTCATCTTATTTGCATTGATATGAGTTTTTAAATCCATCTCTCTTTAAAATAAAAGATTATTTAATTAAATATTTAAATACATATTTATATAAATATACCAAGCACGATTTACACTCTTTGCTTGTTAACCACAATAAACTAGATCCTGTATCAAAATCAACTTAAAATTTTTATTAGGATAAACCAACTTTAATTTCACCAGAGTATAGTTATTAATTATGGTTAAATAGTTTATCTATAAAACCTTAATCATGCATATCCTCATCTCTTATGTTTTATTGATTGAAGATAATTTTATTTTTGAGTCTAATTTTGATCAAATTTGCAGAAGCAATAGTCAAGCTTATTAAAAGTAAGGCTAAGTATCTAGCTTTTCTCATCTTTCAAATTTTATGATTTATTATTCTTTTATATTTTTATATAATCTTTCAAAATTTCCTTCGTTTAATTGAGCTAACATTTCTTATATAAAAAAATCTTTTTTGCTTGAATTTTATCTTTAATAAAAGAAAAATAAAATATTATAAAGTATTGATTGATAAGTAAATTGTTTCTAGATACCTTAATTAACACTAATAATAATTAAATCCTAATTATAACAATTTTATTCCTCTTAATCTGTAAATTAAAATTATGTTTAAGTACAAAATTAAAGATAATTATATTTTATTTAGTCTTTCAAAACTCATTTTTTATCAATTATTAATTATAAGTAACTTTATTATTGATTTTTAGATTTCAAATTATAATTGAAGATAATAATTTTGAAGAAAAAAAAGAATTTATTTGATTTAGTAATTTGTATTAATTTATAAAAAATGGCTTCTAAATTAATTTCATCTTAAAATTTATTATTTTGATATATTTTTGTATTAAATACCATATTCTAATAACAACTCTATTATTATAATTATATTGATTTCACTCAAATTTGTAAACCTCTTTACTTTACATTTAATATGATTTTAAACTCAAGCCTAAGATTTTTATTGAATAAATATTATTAATATATTTTAAATTTAAGTTAAAAAATAAAATTTTGTTAGGGTTTCAATAAAATACTTGTGAAATTATTTTAAAAATAATTCTTAATAAAATTCTTTTTTTATAATTATATTTTTGAAAAAAAAATTTAAATAGGCTTTTTATAAAATTCAAAAATATTTATTTTTTATTTTTCAAAATAATCTAAGACATGTTAGTGTGTAGGGGATTCATTTTAAGGTATTCAAAATAAATTAAATTTTTTGTCAAAAATGCTAATTGTTATTAATTTGAAATGCCTTCAAATTAATTAGGCTATTACAAATACTAGATAGATAATAAAATAATATTTGAGATTTATTTTTTACCATTTTAGCATTTAATAAAGATGCAAAATATAAAGTTTAAAATTAAAAAAAAATAATTAGAATAAATTAATTTTGCTTTTCAATATTAGAGTTAATATTTGTAATATCCTGTGCTTTTAATGCTTTTAAATATATTATTTTTGAAAAATTTTTTGTAAGTATTTCTGCTGAATTAAAACTATGCAAAATCTAAAATATCTTGTTTGTTATTAGTATTCATTTAACTGAAACTAGATTTTTACATTTAGTATCATTATATATATTTTTTTTAATTTGGAATGAAGATAGGTTAGCATCATACTCTTGATAACATGCAATCTTTATTATTCTTTGAACATCAAAACTTTAACGGATATAGTTATGAATAAATTAGGATATATTTTATTATTAGCTATTAAGTATTCATTAAATAATATATTAGCTGTTTCAACTATACTCTACTAGCAGGCTAATCTTTTAAAAAATTTAATATTGCTTTTACTAGCTCTTTTTTTGAGAAGTGTATATTAAATACTATTAAAATAAGTAAGAATAAAAATTTTAGTTTAACTTAAGTTTTTGGAATATTTGAAATTTAATTAACTTACTTGACTAGTACGCATAATAACATTAGAACAAATAAAATTCTTAATTAACTTATATTAGCTCATACATGAACTATTATTAGCATATAAATTATCTTCTTGGAAATTAAGAAAAAAATAATTCTATTTGACAGTTAATCATACTATTACTTTTCTTTTATTTAAACTGAATTATCAATAATTTTTTTAAGTAAAATCTAAAGCTTGTTGTCAAAATCAAAAACATTTGAGATAGATAGGAAAATAAAATTCTTATAAATTAAATGAGTAAGAAATTATTTCATAATTATTCAAATAATGCATTGAAATTAACTAAGTTGGCATTTAGTTGTCCAACCTCACCTTCTATCAAATTACTCCATTCTTAATTTTAGCTATAAAAAATTAAAAAAGATAGACAAAATATTTATCTAAAAAAACTTGACATGGAATAAAATAATGAAATAACAACATTTTAATTTTTAATTTAAAATAATTAAATATTTTTAGAAGATTTAGTTAATAAATAAATTGAGTATTTTTATCAATCGAACATTGAAATAAAAACTGTAATTAATATGAATTAGTTATAGTATATACCTAGCAATTAATATTAAATGATTTTAGGCTACTTATCACAATCATAAAACAAAATTTTATTTAAATCAAAATAAATATTGAATTTTTTAGTCCATCAACAAAATTAATTTTGCTTTTAACAAAAATATTTCTAAATATTTTATTAAAAATCTAAAAATATTTTATTTGATATTAATAATAATATAGTATATTCTCTTATTAAAATTTTAGTTCCATTTTTTTAATATATTTTGCATAAATTTGAGTGAGAATGGTTATTTTTAAAATGTAAGCAAATTAAAAAATTAAAACTGACAAAGTAATTACTTTATTTTATAAAGTACCTTTTTTTATTATTAATTTCTGATAAATCATTATTTGCTTAATAAATTTAGACCAATAACGTTTATTTTAAATAGGTAGAACTCATCCTTTCCTTACCCTTAATAAATTACTTTTGTAAAAAGTAATGTTAAAAATTAATTATTTTTATTTACTATTACTGTATAAACTAATAGATCATAATCTAGCTATTACAAATATAAATTAAAGGATAATAACTTTAGTTACTTAATGCAGTATATTATGTTACAAATATAAAATAAAATAACTTTTTATAGTCTAGTTTGATTAAAATCATACACTCTTTAAATACTCTTTAAATGAAATTTATTTACTTAGTATAAATTAAAAATTCGATTAAAATATTGTAGGGAAAAGTTAGATATCCCTACCTATTAAGCAGTGACATTTTGACTCAAAAATTTCAAACTATATTAATTTAGATTTTATAAGTACATAATACATATCTTACTTAATACATAATAACGAGATATATTTATTTATTTTATTAAATTAAAATAGAAAAACCAACTAACATTCTTCATTCATTGGTTTGATTAGAGATTATAAAAAGTAATGAAAATTTCAGGATCTTAACCTATGATTAAGAATATAATATAGATTGCATGGTTTGAATTATATTAAAATAGACGAGAAGAGAAGTGATAGAAATATAAAAATAATTAATTACTCATACAAAGTAAAAATGAATTAATTTATATAAATACTAAGAATATTTTTTATCAAATGACTATTTCTAAATATTGACATAATATTATTTCGATTTAATTGATTCCAAAATATTTGTAAATTAATTGATAATTTTAATTAAAAAAATAAATTAAATAAAAACAAGGTAAAAACAGATAGATGCCCAGTTAAATTAATTATCTAGATACAAGAAAATCTTCAAATGGCTCTATATACTTCGAGCTGAAGAATCTAACCTATTTTTGTGGACAATCAATAACAGGAAACATCATAATAGATCTTAAGGAGTAATATGAAGGAAACCTAGTTGTATTGTGTTTAGAAGGTATAGAAGAATTAAGCCATCCTTCTAGTAAAAATCAAAGTGGTTCAGTGAATAGAATTGTAAAAACTACTAAGCTAATCTATGACTTTTCTTAATGCTAACCTCATAATGTGATTGAGCCAGATACTATGAAAGTTTCTTTTGAAATGGAAATACCAAATGATTTATCCTCCTAAGTAAATATTTTTTATGACTATGAAAACTGCTTCAGAATAAACTATTACTTGTGCGCTTATATAATTCCTAGAAATCCAAATTAAAAGCCTTTACAGGGAATCTAAAGAATTCTGATATTCTAAGAAAAATCAATTGCAGATGCTCCTATTTATAAAAACTTAAAATATTCTCCTAGATATATGCTCTTTTTAGGACTTGGGTCTTATAGTTTGAAGTTATATTTAAAAAAATCTAATTTTTACCCTGGAGAAAATACTATGATTACTATTGATTATGATTTTAGTTAATTAGAGAAGGAAGTAAATTAAATTAAAATCGATATGATTGGAGTGATTTCTAATAATAGTAACCAACAACACACTGAATTGAATATTCTTTCAACTGAATGCGAGATAAGCTAAATAAAAGGAATTGAAAAAAAATAAATATTCATCCCTGTAACATGTCCTCTAAGTACTCAAGGTTAGTTTGCCAAGTTATAATTCTTCTTTTAATTGACTCCAATTTTAAAAAATAAAACGTCATATAAGTTAAAATCCCTAAATTAAGATATTAATATTTATCCTAATTAAAACTACTATTAAAATATTCACATGCCTTAAATAAAGCATCCAAAACCTTAAAGCCACAAATAAATAACTGAATTAACAAGCTCTTCCTCTTTATTAATTGATTAGAAAAATAATAAAGACTTTTAGAAATTTTCTGATTTATAGTAAGAATATTTAAATTATTATGAAATTGAAAAGAATTTTTCTACTTGAAAAACGTTCTTATAAAAATTTTTAATTCCAAAAAATAAATAAATTTTCTTTATTTTAATTATTACCTTTCTCATTTGTTTATGTTTATTATATTTCTTTTTATAGTACTGTATTCTTATTTCAATCGTGTATACTCAAAATGATAAATCTAAAAATAGTCATTTAATAAAATAAATAAAAAAAGAAATAATTTTATTAGTCATAAATTTCTAAGGCATTATTAAGGGTTTCAAATTAAGTCGAAAATTAGATTAAGTTTTTATAAAATAGATAATTTTTATATAAAAGAAAGTTCAGTCTAATTATTGAGTATTTAAAACCAATTAATTTAATACAAAAAATAAACAATTTTGGTTTATATTGAACCTCTAAGATTATATAATTTTAAGTTAAAGCTATAATGAAATATTATTATTCAAAAAATACAATAAATAGTAGTTTTTTTCATATTTTAAATATTGCTTTCTATTTTTAATAAATTAAAAAAAAAAATAAAACTCTTTGATTATTAAATATATATATAAATATAATTTTAAGATGGTATAATTTTTTTAAGATTTGATGGTAGATATTAACAAGAAAATTTAAAGGAAAATATAAAACAAGTATTTGTGAGAAAAAGAGATAATAATAAATAAAATCTAAATAGTAATTATATCAAGAATAATTGCTAACAAAAAAGTAGACTAACCTCTTTAATTTTTTAATTTTTATTTTCAACCTTTATTGGTGTGATTTGTCAATTTAATTTCCACTTTTAGTAAAATATTAATTAATAAATTAAAATCAATTTAATTTTAAATTAATGAAATATAGTTTGATATTTATTGAAATCGACAAATATATTATGAAGCTGATTTTAAATCTAGTAAGTTTAATAATAAAAAGATAAATAAATAAATTATTTATACCATAAATTTAATGATAAAATTTAGAGATAACTAAATTTTACTAAACAAGAGCATAATTCTAAAATACAAGCTATTCCTACTTTATTCCAACTTTTTGTATTTAATTTTTAAATAATTAATTAATTATTATTAAGATATTTTTTTATTTAACTAATGTTAACAGAATAAAATCATAAAATATTAGTTAAAGCTTAAAAATAAATAACTAATTACGCAAAGTTTAGTTTAAGAGTTAAAAGATTTTTACAATTTTTGATATGTTAACAAAAATCTGATAAACCCTACTCTCCGATATTGTTAGACCTTTATAGATATAATAAAATTTTATAAAATTTTGATTTTTTATCTTTTCTATCTCAAAATTTTTCAAAGCCTAAGAATAAAATACAGAAAGTTTACAATATTAAAAGTAAAAATGCTTTCAAGACTAAAAATATATCATTAAAGTATTAAAATTTGTTACTGGAGGTTAAGTGCTAGATTTTTGAGATTGATAAAGTTTGCTAAGTAATAGCTTAAGCTTGATGTTCCCACGCTTCCTATTTTATTTTCCCTTTTATATATTTTATATTAACATAAAAATTATTTTCATATAAAGCTTTTTACAGAAAAATAAATACAAATAAAAAATTTTTTACATCAATCAGCTTTTTTAAAATTATTTAATTTATTATTAATAAAATATGTTTACATAAGATTAAGTTCTAAAGTTTAAAGACTAGGACATTATTATAAATGAGATCCAATAATTTATGCTCCATATGCTCCTATTTTATTCTCTCTTTTATTTTTAAAATTAAATATATTAGCAATAAAATTAAATAATTAATATTTATTTTTAAAACAAAAGATTATAATTTTTTTAACTATGAAATATTCTAAGAAATAATAAAATAATTTATTTTACTCTAAGTTAAGTTTTAAAGTTGAGAGACATGAAAAATTTGGAAAAGCAAAAAATAGTTTAGATGCTCCATTTTCTCCTATCTCATTACCCCTTTTTAATAATATAAACTGTTACTCCAAATAAAAAAATTTACTTTAAGAAAGTTAATTTAAAATATTTTTCATAAAATTTGAAATTTTAATTAAATTATAAAGTGTTATAAAAAGTCATTTGAAAGCATCAGAGGTAAAAATTAAGACAAGGAGACCACATTTAAATAATTTTTTAATAGAAAAGAAATATTAATAAGCATTTAATAAAAATATAAACAAAAAATCTATAACATATTTATACCAAAAATGGAGTGTTAATTTAGAGAGAAGTTTGCAGTTGGCTAAAGCTAACCCTAATTCTGAAGCTCCTTATACTTTTAAATTGTTCCATCTTGTATGTTAAAATATAAATATATTATTTATTTTATAATATTTTTTTTACATAAACATTTTCATAAAATACTATCTAATATCTTGTTAAGATAAAATATATTTTTACCTTAAATCTAATTCTAATTCTATTAGATTTGTACAATTTGATAATGCAGAACTAAAACTAATAACACCTTCATCGCCAACTTAATTCCTACTTTTCATATAATTCATATAAATAATTTTCAGCAAATTTAAAAAATATAAATAATTTATTGGTCTAGGAGGAATTTAAAAGAATAAGAAGATAAAAATAAATAATTTTTACCAAAAATCGATATGTAGACAAGTATGAGAAGACAAAGAGGTGTCTATAAACTTATATTAAATTATATTATTTCAATCCTAGATTTGAATATTAATAAATACTTCTTCTAAGCAATCAAAGTAATTTTCATTATACATCATTTATTTTTTTTGCATAAATATTTATTAATTATTTTTAAAATTCTTTCTATAGTGAATTTAAAATTTTAGAAAAAACTTATTAAAATTTATTTAAAAAATAAATAATACTAATTAAAATTAAACTGTAAAAGGGTTAAAGCATCATATTAATTTAAAATTTCTTATAAAATTTAGTATAATACTTATTAAGTTTAAAATTTTATTAAAACAATTTTATTATTCAATCAAGTCCCTACAAATTATAAAAATTATAAATAATTTTTTTTAATAGATATATTTATATCGTAGCTAGAACAGACTAAATAAATAAAAAGAAGATTGGTTTTAATTGCTAGTCAATCAAAATAAAATAATGGTATTCTATTATCTTAGGATTTTTATATGAAATTTTAATAAATTAATTTTTAAAATTTCAACAATTGTTGAAAAAATTAAGAAAATAAATACTTTTAAAATATAAAGCAAACAAAATTGAATTAAAAAACACATTTTAATTATTGTCTTTAAAAATAGAAAATTTTATGACCCTTTAATAAATGTAAGAAAGATATGCTTAATTTATAATTGAGTAATTAAGTGTAAATAAATAATAATAAATTATGAATTTTTAATGGTTTTAAGATTCTAATTTATTAAAAATTTAATGTTAGTTAAGCACAGAGAAATTTATTTAATTAGTATTTATAAACTTTTTACAATTGTAAAATAAATAGGTTTTTAATATATTTGAATTCATTTTTCATAGAGAACTACTAGTTATAAAGATTAATTGAAATAAGAGGATAAGAAACAAGAGAAGAGATTTGAAAAAGAAATGGTTTTAGGATAAGAAGATTAAAGAGAGGGATTAATATTTATTTTTCTTCAAGAAGAATCAACAAATGAGTTTAGGGGAAGAGATAAAAATGTTCCTATCATGATTCCAAAAGCTATGGCAAATCCACCATAATAATTGATGAGATCTGTAATTTTAGGGTCACTAGTGTTTTTTGTTCCTAGATTCATTAGAGCTGTTGTTCCAAATCCATTTGCTAAGGCAAATAGAAACATGTTAATCATTGCAAAGAAATCGTTCTAGAAAAATTCTAGATCCTATCTCTTAGCAGTTATTATAAAGAAAGAGAAGAAAATAAATCTTAAAAGAACTACAGAGTAAACAAAATAAAGTTTGTGTAAGGATTTGTAAAATCCAGAAAACTTTCCGACGACATCTCCTAAGTTAAAAATAGTTATCATAACAACTCTATTTTTATTAAAAAATTATAATTAATTTGATTAAAAATACAAATTTAATAAGTCGAAAAGTGTATTTTTTTTAGTAGTCTGTATGTATGCCTTTACTTTTTAATTAAAATAAATAGAAATAAATTTTACTGTGCCCAAGTCTAGCCGACAATATGATATGGTTTTTTTTAAAAGATTGAAACTCCAGGGAATACCATAAAGGTCTGTATGTAAATAATAGTTATAAAAACAGGAATGGCGCCAGCGTATTTAAAAACTTGCTTTATCTCTAAGAAGTAATTAATGATAGGATTTTGCTTTATTGTATATAGAATTTTTATTTTTTGTGTTTATTAATCATATATTTAAGAAATATTATGTGCAGTTGTTTATTATTACAAATCACTATTTATGGCTTATATTCTTTTAATTTCTTCTATTTTAGAATACACTTTCTGTCTCTTCAATATTATGTGGAAGTATTCACTATCAGCAAATAGAACTTAGAGTGTACTTGATACTACGTATACGAAAGCAGCTATTGAAAAGTAAAGAGCTGAACCTGTATTAATTGCTGATTACCCATCACCAAACCAAGCAAGAGTAATCATTCTCAAAAAATTTGTAGTTAAACCTGAGAAAGCAGTACAAGTCCAGTAAGTGTTATTAAGCGTTGAGTCTACCATCCCTGATAGAGATATCAATGAACTTGTATTAACACAATCAATAAATCCTTAAATGATAAGTATCACAAAGGAAATCCAAAATCCCATTTGAGTATTGAAGAAAATTGCAATCATAGTGACTGAAACCATAGTTAAGCAAGTACCCATAAGCGTATATGCTATTCTTTAATTTAATGAAAAGAAACGCGCTAAAGCTGGGCAAACGAAAGCTGCTAAGCAGTTTGCTAACATAATTGGAACAGGAAAATAAAATGATACATCCATAAATTTATCCTTGGGATATTACGCTTAGAAAAAATCAATAGCAGATAATATTGCATTCCAACCAGCTAGTGATGCTATGCCAAGCAAGACAAAAGCTAATCTATGCCAGCCTTTTAGTTGAGGATTTAATCTATCAAGTAATTTATTTAGCTCTATAATTTGTTTATTTGAATCATCAAATTTAACTTTCTTATTATCATTCAATATTCTCTTTTAGCTATCTTAAAGTTCTTGTTTTTTATCCATAAATGTCATTGAAGTTTTATTTTACTCCGAAGATTCGGGTGATATACCCATTTCCTTCTGTTTTTTCTGATTTCTTAAAATTTAGTTTATTTTTTGCCTAAATTTTAATTATATATTAAATTTTTTTACTTTAAAACTCATTTTATCATATAATTAATTATATTTTTTCCTCCTCCATAAGAAATATATTATTTTGGGGGTCTCGTAAAAAAATATAAGTAATGCTTAAGATTATGTAAATACATGCATTTATGAAAAGGTGAGGGCCAATTAATTAATAATATTTATCCCATAGTAAAAATAATTCATAGTTAATTAAGCACTTACGCCTTTAATTAAATTGTAAAGTAAATAGATATTTAATCTACAAAGCTACTTTTTTAACAGGCAGACCAACTTAAATACTCTTCATGAGTTGATAAGATTAAATTAAATGTAACATAAAATAATTGAGTTTGCTTTATTCGCTTGTATGATTAAAATCATGTTCTAATTTGATCAAACTATTTTTAAATTCATAAACTAATTTAAAATGCAATCAATATGCAGTGAATGATTTTTAAATTTAAAAAAATAAATAAATAGCATTCATTGTCTATTTCTAAAAAAGAATATATTTGCTTTGAAATACATTTCAAATTAAGTTAGCAGAAATAGTCTATAAAACTAAAATAGAATGCTATAAATAAATTACATATTCTTTATAATTCATAATTACCTTCCTAAATAGTAAATTATGAATGTGCGAGAATTTTAGAGATGAATTTGGATTTATAAAATAAAAGCCAATAAATCACTTATCCTTATATTTGAACAAGCAGTGATATAATTTTAATAATACGGAATAGCTTACCCAATCAAATTGCATCATATAAAATTTATTTAATTCGCTTTATTAGCTCTTAGCATGCAGTTTATTTTTTTTTTTAATCTTTTAAAAAATGAAAATAAGTTTGAAAATTAATAAATATTCTTGAATATTTTTGAATATTTGTATTTTTAAATAAACTTTTAATTAAAAAATATTATGTTAATTAATAATTAAATTTTAAAATATTTATCAATTTTATAATCCATCAATTTATTTTTAAATAATTATATAATTTAATAATTATTTGATTATTAAAAGAATATTTTATTATTTTTTTTATGTAAAAATATACTTAATTCAATGATTTTAATAGGTTTTATTTAAATTAAAGTATTTTAAAATTCTCTCAATTTAATTATTAAAAAAATATTTTGAATTAATTTAAGGATGACAATAGATTTATATTGATTCCATTTAGACCTTACAAATTAAGAATGGTAATAAAATACCAAATATTTTTCATTATTAAAAATAAAATAAATTTACATGATACAATAATATTTGCCTGCAAATGGCTAGTAATAAAACTGGAAAATTGTTATAAAGTCTTTAATTTTATTGAAAGATAATAAAGATTCGATAATTGTTTTTGTTTGGCTAATTAATTGAATTTATTAATATTTCTTTTAACTTTAGAGGACTTCTAAAATGAGTTAAGAAAAATATCATGATTTATAAAGAGAATAAAAATTATTTAAGAATTAAAAAGATAAGGATAATTAAAACGAGAAAGTTTGTATTGTATTCTCTAAAAGATAATAAGAAAATAAATAAATAAATAAATTGGCTAATAAATAATACTCAGAACATATTTTATTAATAATAATTATTATCACAAAATTGAATTCATCTATATCACAAAAAGACTTTGTTTTTTTCAAATTGAATAAAAAGTTGATAAAACATTTCAAGATTAGAACATTTTAAAGGGAAGCAAAAATACATATTAATTATTCTATTAAAGTAAATAAATCAGTATATTTATTCATTTTTAGTGTTATTTGAGTTTATTTTACATACAATTCAAGCATTTTTTGAATAATTTTTTAACAGGCTAATTCCTCTCTCTGATAAAGCAATCTAAACAAACAATAGATAGAATTGAATATAGAAAAAAATATATAAGAAGTAAGAATCATATTTGAAAATATAACTAAGCATGGGATCAAATCAAGAACAATAAGAAAATTTAAAGTTAATTTTGTAAAATCCAGATTAGTATAAAGAAGGATCTAAGCCATATAAAAAAGGTGTATAAACACGTGACAGCTAAAAAATAGCACTAATCACTGAGACTGTTTAAAAAATAATAATTAAAAAGTTTAAGGAGCCACCAATTATGCAATTGAGTGCAGTGCGTCTTATTAAGGAGTGCTTTGAGCTCTTTGTTTAGGATTTTATTGATATGGTAGCAGAGAAGATTCTCCCAATTATGAGTTAGGTTGCTCATTTTTAGCAAAATAATCAAAATATTAACAGGGGAAAAGAGTATTTTTACTAAGAAGACTAGGAGAAAAATGCTTAATTAGAGCAGCTAGGAAATAGCTTTTTCAGATTAGTTTTAGAATGCATATATGTGTGGGCTAAATGGTATCCTGACACTTAGTATGCAAATACTTATAACAATTTAGTGGAATAAAAAATAACTTTCCCTACTTCGTTTACTTATTTCAAGCCTGAGCTTATAAACTCCACAGTAGATGAAATTTTGTAGCGCCGTGAAGAAGCTTCTCGTATAAGAAGAGAATAGAAATTAGGTTAATCACATATTGAAAACAATTCTACAGCAATTGATGTATCAGGATTAAGAAATTTTACCGAAATGAAATAGCAATAATCTAATCCTAATTCCAATAATACAAATAACCATCAAGTTAGTCAAAAGCCAATTAACGACAACTAGTACTAAGAAACAAAAACTGGAGGAGGCCCAAATATGATCAATAATGTAGATGAAAATCCTCATGTTCAAGTTAACAACGCTATTGTAAGTATTTAGTAAATCAAAAACACACTATTAGAAGGACTGAAAAAACCTGAAGAAATGGACAATAATCTCTTAGACTATTTCAAATAAGAATTTGAAAGATTTAGCGAAAATGCTCAATTTTATTCTTAATAAATTATTGAGCGCCAAGAAGATGGTAACGAGGATCTTCTTGGAAAGCTTTTTAATGAAAATGAATTCTCAGAATTATTTATTAAGAACTGTAATGAGTACCTTCAAGGAAATAAAACTTGGACTGATCTGTAGAAAGTTTTCTAAAACCATATTAAAAAGCCAGCATATGGTGAGGTATCAGGTACAATTGGTGGTTATGTTTCGATTCGTATGAAAGATGAAATGCTAGTTTCAGGCTAAGGTCAAATTAATAATTTGGTTCAAAATAAAATTTAAAAAAGTGAGAATTTCCAAACAAGTTAAAATCATTTTAAGCACTAGGCAGACGAAGAAGATATGGAACAAACCATTTAGCGTAATACATAGTTCACAGAAGATAATAAAAAATATAACTAGCTAGGAAATAACGGTATAATTGGTAACTAAGCTACACAAAGTATTAACTAAAATGTAAATAGTACTAGCAGCAATAGTAAAAATCTATTTTAGAGTAATATTGCTGAAGATATAGAAGAAAGAAAGGGACCTCAAGATAATCATATTTAATAGCTACAGCCCTAAAATTATAACCCAAGCACATAAGAGAAAAGAGAAGAATTTGCAAATTATGAAGGTGGGAGAAGAACATTACGTGAAGCTCTTAATAAGAACGAATATGAAAAATATAAGTTCTAGTTAAAGAGCAAGACTAATTTCTCAAAAATATCTTAAAATTAATCAAACTTATCTAATTTTTCTTCAGCTTAGAAAAAACCATAGTTTACCAAGTATAACTCTTACAGAGACTCTTCAAATTTAAATAATTTATAAGACAACCCTGACGAAATGTAAAATAAGTTACAACAAACTCTTGATATTCTTAGAGGTGTTTAAGAGGAAAGGGATGAATATAAAAATAAGGTTGAAGAATAAAAGCAAGAAATAGAGCGTTTAAATCTGGTTATTTAGTCTTTATAAAATAGAAGCAATTATTGAAACCAAAAATTACAGTAATAAATAATAATTATCAACATTTCATTCCAAACCAAATTGCAAAATGAATGGATGAATAAAAAAAGAAAGACTAAATATATTTTTTTGATATAAATTTTAATTTTGCAAAATCAATCAGTGAAAATAAATCCTTTTTATACCTTCATTAGCTGAATAAACTGTTTTTAGGAAGGAAAATTGAGAAAGAAAATAAATATGCTCTTATACCTTTAAAATATATATATCTAGTGAGTTAGCTTAAATGAAAAGTTTTAAATATTCTAAGTGTAAGGTATAAAAATTTGTATAGTATATATATGCTATTGTAAATATTTTTTATAGAATTTTTTCTTTTTTATCTTTTGCATTTTTAACAATTAAACAAATTCAAAATTTAGAAGATTTTAATTAAAAATAATTAATGATTTCAAATGTAAAAGAATTATTCAATTTTTTTTCAGTTTTTATAAAGTTCAATAAATAATTTTTATGAATCTTGATAACCTTTTTAAGTACTAAATGAAAATATCTTTAATTAGATTGATTGCTGTTTTTATAATTTCTAAAAAAGAAACCTAAAATCTTATTATGTTTGATTTAATTAATATTAACCAATAACTCATTCATATCTAAGAATATCATCATATTAAAAAAAAACTTTGACAAAAGTAGACTTAACTCTCCGAAAAAGAGAAAAGAAAGCAAAATAAAAGTATTTTAATTTTGTTTTTTATTAAATTTAATAAAAAAGGATTAATTTTTTTTTTTCTAAGTATTTTTAATTTATTTGAGTCAAAAATTCTATTTCATTTATTAAAACGAAGTTAATTTTTTTTGAATATCAAAGTAAATCCATCTATAAAAATAATTATTGAAATTTTGCTTTAAATTAGCAATTTCAGGGAGATTTTATATGAAGGCACATATATGTAGACTGAATAATTAAAGGAGATACGATAAAGTAGGACGCCTAACGTTAAAGATAAAATGGATTAGAATAAATTTTGTTAGTTAGTATAATGAAAAAACCAAAGATAAAAATAGATGAGCTAAATTAGAAATTTGATATCTTTAAATATTGGTAAAGTTTTTTTTTGTACAACCTTTACGTGTATATAGCTTTCCTATACATTTATTGATTGATTTAACAAAAGATAAATTTTTTTGATTTAATATACTTTTTTACTTTAGAATAATTAAAAATTAAACACACAAAAAAAAATAAGAATAAATATTAAAGTAAAGCAAAAATGTCATCAGCTCAAAACAATAAATTCAATTATTACTATCCCTCCAAGTATGGAGTTAAGGCTACTACTGCTGACCGTCTTGATGCCAGCGAAGATGCCTAAAAAAAGATTGAATCTGGAAATCTCGTCAATCTTCCTTTCATCAGCAAATCATACTTCACCGAAGAAAAGGAAGTTCAAAAGGCCGAATTCAACGATTTAGCCGAAGATCCCAGACATGTAATTTTACTATTTTTGTTTAATTGATATCACTTGCTATTTTAGGAATATGGAGCTTAAACTTAATATAGTATAATAGTTATTTCTAAAATACCAGCGAATTTATTACTAAATTAACAATCTTATTAGATTATAATATTTTATTAATACTATTTTAATAATTATAAAGGAATACGAAAGATACGATTTGATTTTTAATACTTACTTCTAATTCCTCTAATAACTCATTGCTGAAAAGGTATTTATTTAAGCTTTCTAAAGCTTGCAGATTCATTATATCTCAAAATTAATAAATTTGTACTTTAACTAATTCAACAGAAGTTTGACGAAAAGGATTTAAGAAAATATCTCCTTGTTAAGCTCTTAGTCACCAAGGCTATTCACCTCAACCCTCAATTTGCTTAAATCGGCAAGGCTCTTTCTATTGTGTAGGCTATTTCTTAAATTCAATAAAATACTTTACCATATCATTTTACGATTTATAACTATTAGAAAATTCTATTACTATAGTTAAAACTAAATATCTATTTAGTTAATTAAATAAAGCATAGATAGTTTAAATAAGTTAAAATTAAATGCTAACATAAATAAATAGATATAGAATTTTAAATAGAAATTTAAGAAATTTTGATAAAAACAAATTTATTAAATCATCATTTTATAACATATAGATAAGAAAAATCTGATGCTGATTCTATTAGAGAAAAGGCTTACAAGCATGAAAAGACTATTGGATTTAACTCTGAAAACAAATATCATAACGACTAAGACTAAAAGGAATTATAAGACGTCTTAATGAAGACTAAGGGTTTAACTAAGTTAATTGAAAGTTACTATGAATAAACCACTTAAGAATTACAAAAGGGAGAACAATTACATTAAGTTTATAATAAAGCAAAATAAACTGTTGGTTTTTCCACCAGAAAATAATTCTACTATTACAATTTAGAAGCTATTAGAGTAACCAATTTAGCCGTTGATGAAATTATTGCTCAATAAAGAAGCATCCACAATAAATACGACGTCGATTTCGCTTACTATACTGTTGATTAAAACTAAATCTCCAGAGAAACTACCTCTGTTTTCTCTCTCATCATCGATGTTAGCTTAGATAAGTTGAAATAAGAAGCTAATGTATTAATTTATTTATCTAAAAATTCATTTCAGTAATTTATTTTATTATTTTATATTAGCTCACTGATGATATTCTTAATGCTGCTTAGAAGGTTGCTAAAGTATTAGTTGAAAGCCACAAATTATATATTCAAAACAAAAAGGGAGTTGCAAATATGACCGACAAATTCTTCGAAAGATATTACAATTTATACTAAAACCCTATTCAAGGAGATCACGTTTACATTTCTCCTGAAATTTAAACTCTTGCTTACATCTATCTTAATGCCAAGCGTAAAATAAAATTAATTATTAATTAAATAAATAAATTGTTTTTAAAATGTTATTTTTGTAATAAAATAAATAGTCACAAACAAAAACATTAACAAAAACGATGAATGAATGAACAAAAGAAAGACTAGTTTGAAATCCTGACTGATTGATTAACTAACTTAATAATCTATATATAACAATAAAAACATTTGAAATATATTTTAGATATAAAATATAATCATTAATAATATTAATTTAACGTATTATTTCTTAATCATATTAAGTATATTATTTTTGTTTTATTTTAATTGAATATTTAATACACTTGACCTTCTATATGTAAATAAGTATCATACATATTTAATTATTATTTTTTTAGAATATCTTTGAAAAAAAAATCATCTAAATTTCTAAATATTAAAGCTCAATTATAAAACTATACAGTTTTCACCTAACTTACTAATTAACTAACTAACTAACTCAATAATTTAATTTTAAAAGTACCCAAAATAAGCTATATATATTCAATATTGTTATAAATTTATACAAAAATCTTAGTAAATAATTAATAAAATATCTATTTTTAGAGAGAAATTTGTAGCATTTGAATTTATCTATTAGTTTTTTGATTGTTTGATTGTTTGTTTATTTATTTATTTATCTATATATCTAATTATTTTTTTAATTTATTATATTCGATTATTTATTTATTTTTTTGTTTATTTATTATTTTTCTTTATTGAATTAATTTAATTAAGCTTGTTTTTTTATATTTATTAATTAATTTCTTTATTTATCAATTTTTTCATTATCTGATCTACTTTTTAATTTTATTTATCTTTTTCTTTTTTTTTTTTTCCTTTCTAAAAATGTTCTCTATGCTGCTCAACCTCATGTGTAGTCGTGATGCCTAAGGAAATAAGAGATATCTGGATCTCAGTTTTTTAAATGCATGATGGCATTTTATAAACTCGTTATTAGGGGCTTAAAAACTTAGGAAAAAGAATTCTGTAAACAGAATCATAAACTATTATGAATGTAAAAATCTCCACCCATTTTAGATTGATCGGAAGCAATAGGTTTTTAAATCTAGTAGAGAAGCGAACTAAATTTTAAAACTATATGCTCATTGATTGAAAAACTTATCCCGTAGGAGTATAAAAAACTTAATAAATGGAATTGATTTTTATATTTTCTGGATTCAGTTTTGAATAAAACTTCTCATTTTCTTTTTAGTTTTTTGAATTTATTAAATTTATTTGAATTATTAAATTATAAAATTTTCCCCTCTTTCTTTGAAATTTAAAATAAATTAGCTAAATAAATTTTCAAAAAACACATTTTGCAAAAAACATAAATTAATAAGTAAGATTATAATATTTTTTATTTAAAAATAATAGCCATTTAGAATTAAATTAAAACCAATTTATAAAATAAATAAATTTTATTTATACATTCAAAAGTTATTTATTAAAATAATTTATGGTTTACATAAATCAATCAATCATGTGTACTTTTTAAAGTTATTGTAGACAGTGTAGACCAGCAAGACACATCCAAAAGCGAAAGTACCATAAGGTAGGTACTTATTTTTTATTATAGATTTATGGATGTTTTTGTCTTGGCTAATACCAAGTCTTTCAGCTTTAATTCTTGCATAAATGACAAAGCTAGATGGGAAAAGATTAATAAGCATAGAACCAAATATTCCTGAAACCCAATCAAGTACAATTTAAATGTTTTTAACAGTTAAAGAGATTGCAAAAATTGGACCTGCAATTAACAAAGTGAAAAAAATAGTCCATTTAGTAATTTTATAGCTGATTGCAGGAATTTTGTCTTTTGCAAGGAATTTCATCAAGTTGTTACGGCAAGTGATGATTAAAACAGGAAAGGCAGCAACATTTAAGAAAATGTAAAAACTAGAAATATAAAAAGCCCAATCAGCATCTCCGATACCTTAGAAGTAGCTATTGAAATAACTTGACCCTGTTGCATAACCTAAACCAACACACTCACTGTTATTGTGTCCCTTTTCAGCATCAAGACACTTACCGAAAGCCATGACACCAAAAATACTAAGTAGTACAATTGACAATGAGCCTATACCAAATGCAGCAAATGATACTTTTTTAATATTTTTTTAGTTCTCAATACTATAAAACATAGAAGGGATAGCATGGTGCATAAGTAGGGCAAATTGTAAATCACCAAAAAAGCTAGAAAAATTATCAAAATCAAAGTAAGTGTGGTTTTCATTCAAATTATGGAAAGATGTTTTTCCTGCGATTTAGAAGGATCCAATCAAGAGGGCAGCAATAGTAAGAAAACGAACAACGACAATAACATTTTATAGTGTTTTAGTTTTTTGCACATTACTAAAAGAAAAAATAATAGAACAAGCCAAGAAGGAAATCATCCAAGGATAAGTGCTATTCAAAAAAGAAACATCCTTAAAGGTTTTTGATAAAATGTTTCCAATCATAATAGTTTTTGAAGATAAAACACCGATTAAATAGACTACCAGCCCAGTTGCTGTAATACCCTAACCTAATTTACCATAAATTTCAAGACCCATTTGAGAATATTCAATAGGTTCTTTTAATAAGAAAGATTCTTCAGTAATTTCATAATTATTTTAATCTTATGAGATGGTTTGTTCAGAAAGACTTTTAACTCCACTGTCTTGAGGAAAAATCAATTTTGATTATAGTTCCTATTCTTGTCTCTCTTTAGCACGTATAGCAGTTAATAGAGACATAGTTTCAATTACAAATTCAGAGCAAATGAAGCTTATAAATGTAATTAATATTATAAAGATAAACGCAAGAGCAATGCCTGGTTCTTAAAATACTGGAGGTACCAAAATGGGTCCTGCTCCAAGAAGAACATTAAAGGCTGTGTTAAATACAGTTAAACTTGATAATTTATTTGAATTGTTCTTTTTTTCTTCAACTGGAAGTAAATTTTCGTTCTCCTCTCCCGACATTTTACTAACTATCTTCTTTATCAATATCTACTAATTTTTTTAATTTTTTAATAGAGATCTATATTTATTTATATTTCAATCTTTTTAATTATTTCTAAGATTGAAAAAAAATAATATTCGATTTTTATAATTCTTTTACAACACATTACTTTTTTTTTTAGCTAATTATTTTTTATCAGCATGTAGATCAAATCCAGAATAATTTTCCATAGTGATAATTCTTGATTAATATCATATAAATCATATTACTTAATCTCATAAAACCTATTTTATGGCTATCATTCTTATTAATATTATTTATTATTCTACTATTTCTTTTTGTTGATCATTATTTTTAGGCATGCTTTTTTAGATTCAGCTTCTAAGAGTTTCTTTAATTTCTAATCACTGATTGATTACCTCATCAGCAAGCAATATCAAAAAATAATGTAATGGAATAGATTCAAATTTTTTATTTAATCTTATTTTAATTAGTTGTAGGTAAAATAGCTTTTTATTGATAAGAAAATTGTAAAAATTTTTGAATGATGCTAGATTTTTTTGATCTAGTAAATCATTAATTATTATGTTAAAATCGCTTACAGGCTTACAGGTTAAAATAGAAAGGGATAAAATACCATAATAATCTTTGAAATTTTATCATATTTAAGATAATTGTTTGCTTTTAAAAATTTTTAATAATCTTAAGTGTTTTTGTCAAGTTTCATCTTCATTTTTTATTTATAAAGATAAAAAAATCTTTTTTATAAACATTAGAAATAAAATGAGAAATTATGAAAAATGTAATTAAATATAATAACCTCAATTTTTATTTTAATGTCTTTACATAGGTATTCCTTTATTTTAGTTAAATAACAATTTTATCACTCAAATTTAACTTAATCAGCTAAAAACAAGATATTTAGACTTTAAGTGACTATAATTAATTAATTAATTAATTAATATTTCGTGAGTATCTTTTAGATTTCTCTAAAATGTGTTTACACTTGAAAAGAACATATTTACAAAACATCAATTTTCAGAATACGAAATGAATAACAAGACTTTTAAATATGATTTTAAACACAAACAATTTTTTAAAAATATATTTTTATGATACTAAGCTTGTTAAAATTATGATTTATTTAATTCAATTAAATCATAACTTCTTTAAATTTTTTCTTTGAAATTTCTTGTTTTTTTAAAAAGAATTGAGTAAACTCTTATTAGCTTGCATGAATCATTATTTGCAAAGATATTATTGAATAAATTATCTATTAACACTTTTTTTTGATTTTGTAAGCTAATAAGTAAAAAATTTATAAAATCTTCTTCTAGAATTCCTAAATTATTTAAATATTAAAATTCTAAAAAAATTTTTTTTTTTTTTGGAATGGATTAAAATATTTTGACAAATAAAAAAATAAACAAACATTCTTTACTAATTTAGCACATTTATTTTGGCTAAAATTTTATTAAAATTTTTAAAGTTTATATTTAATTTACATACTATCACATAAACAATTCATGGATAACTAAATATGAGTTATATAAACAACATAATATTCCTATGATTAAGGTCATTAGAGGAATTATATTTGAACTTATTAAAGTTTTATGAAAGAAATCTTTTTACTCCTCTGGAGTTAAATTTTAAGTTACTTGTCTCCCTTTAATAACTAAGAATGCAGGTATTATATTGAGCATTATTGAACCTAATATACCTCCAATTACATTAAGAACAACTTAAATATTTTTAACAAATACACTGATAAAAAATACTGGTATTAATATACTTAGTGATCCAATTATATTTTTTAAAGTAAATCCACTGTTATTTTATTATTCTTATTATTATTATTATTATTATTGATTTTCGTTTGAGGTTTAAGTATTTTATTAACTAGGGAAGAAAGCTAACAAGTTATTTCTTGAAGTTATTGTCATTACTGGAAAAGCTGTTATATTTAAAAATACATAAAAACCTGATAAGTAATAAACAAATGGTGACTATTCTTTGAAATTGAAATTAAAAAGCTTCAAGTCATGCTACTCGACTAGAGAATCTCCAAATGCTAATATTCCACTCAAACAAAGTGAAAAAAATACTGAAATGGCTATAGTAAAAGAGCTCATTAACACCTTTTTGATGTCTCTAGAAGGATGAATAGGTTTTGACATAGATGGCAAGCTATGGTGCATGTTGTAAGCAAATACTGCATTGGAAAAGAAGCGATTAAATCCTTAAAATGAGATAGGAGGATAATTTTTATTATAAAGAGGATGCATTCCTGTTAGATAAATTGAATTGAAGCAACCTATAAGCATAGAAATCACTGTGATTACACGAATATAGAATATAAAAGATTATAAACCCTAAGTATCTTAAACATTTTTGAATGAAAACACTGCTGATATTAAGAAAAAAGAAATAAGCCAAAGGTTATAGCTGCTTAGAATTTAAAAATTCTCAAACACTTTAGACATTACGTGAGCAGTTGCCATGCACTTCATAATCATAACTCCAATTAAATAAAATATAATAATTAAAGAGATTACAAATTTTCCTATTTTGCCTATTAAAACTTCACCCATTTCACCATATTCGAACTTTTGGTTGAGTTCAAAAGGATTTTATTATTACTAATTAGCTATTTTATCAGAATCTGCTTATTAAACAGCTTCATTATCAGTTTTTAGCTGTGTTTTTTCATATTTATGTTTTGTGTACTAAATATAGTTACAAATTGACATTCCTTCAATTATAAATTCAGCTGAGATATACGAAAAAAATCCAATCAATATTAAAAAAAAACCTGATAAAACAACACCTGATTCATAAAAAACAGAAGGAAGAATTAGAGGTCCCATTCCCATCATTACATTTATTTAAGTAAATAAAGCTTAAAATTTGTTAATTTATGTTTCTTTTTAATCTTATTTGACAGCTATATTTTCATTTGTATTTAGATTAGGGGGATTAATTGCAGCTGCGTTATTAGAAACAGCAGCAAGATTTTATTGGTTTTGATTTTCTTAAACATCAGCTAGCTCTACAAATTTAGAAGCCATTTATTTATTTTAAGTTTCTTTCTATATTTTTGTAAATACTTACTAATTTAAAGTTTTTATTTTGACAATTTTGAGGAGTGCAAGCAAAAACTTTATTATATTATTTATTTTTTACTAAGAATTTAAAAGATATTAGTAATTTTGATGGAAATTTAATTTGATATTCGTAAAATATCTATAAATAGATTTGATATTATTAAATAAAAGGAATCAAAGAAAATGAATTTTTAATTATCTATTTCTAATAACTTTTACAACAGATGATATGAAACAAATTTATATTTTACAGATACAAATGTAATTAATGGATAGAGTGTTAAAATTAAATTTAAGATAATGATATTGTTATTATTTTTTAATAAATTTATATTAATACTAATAAGATGAGTAGTAGATAGATAGATCTTTTATGAAATAAATTTTTTTAATTTGGCAAATCACTAGAATGGAGGAGCTCTTTATCCTTATAATTAGTGAGATGTATTTCTAACTTCGAAGACACCTTCGATTACAGTTTTATTTTCTATCTTCTCTACTGGCATCTTACCCAAATTAAACTTGTGATTTACTACGAGCAAAGGATTATTTTCGTTTTTAAGCACCTTATTAAAAATTAATTAATGAATAAATAAATATTGTCTATCATCAAAAAAAAAAATTCTAATTAAATCTAATAAATTTTGTTGCTTACATCGTCGTTAAGGGAAATTCCATCTAAATATTACTTAAGAAGTGATTTAAGCAATTAATTATCTCTTTGTAAATTTTCCTTTTATTTTTCTATCGCTAACTTATCAAGAAGCACCTTGTTGTATCTTTTGTAAAAATTGTTTAAATAAGCATATTCTTCTGCATCCTCTTTCTTTAAATGCTCAAATTCATTTTTAAGTTATTCAGGAATCTGGTCTTCATCAACAGAACTCTCATAGAAAGGAAGGACCTTTTCTTTCTCAGTTTCAAGTCTACGGCCTTTAAATAAAATATCATAAAAACATTAATTTCAATTAATTTAGTAAAATTAACATAAATTAAATAAAATATTTTTAAAGTTTAAATTAACAAATTACTTTTGAATAAATTTAAAAATCATTTTGTATTTTTTCGATTATTTTAAAATTTCCTTTTTAATCTCAATAATTGATCAGAGTAAAAATTTTTAAAAATTCAATCTTTAATTAAGAAAAAATAATCTTTTTTCTATATGATTTAATTAAATTTTATCTTTCTATTATAATATAATTTATTATTTCAAATAACATTCATTCATTTTATGCTCAAAAATTCTAAAATGATTAGTTTTTTCTCTCTCTATTTTAAATGTATTTTGCTTTAAAATCTTCTTAATTTCCTTTAAAAATTAAATTAATTTTCTTATAAAAATATATAATTACAAAGTTCAGCAGTTTTGAGGATTTTTTCTCCTAATGCACAGTATTCTCTCAGTTTTAATACAGCATTACGAGAATTATTTGAAAGTTCCTTTAATCTTCTTGACTCTTCCTCTCTGAATTTTTACATTTTTAACTTTAATTCATGATAATTACGAGAGATATTTTCCTTTTCCTTCTTTAAAGCAGAGTTTCTTGCATTGAATTCTTTACAATGTTAAAGAATTTTAAGCTTCATTAAATCGATTTTAGCTTTTTTAGATGAAATAGTTCTCAAATATCTATCTATTTCCTACTTTCTATTCTTATTATGGGCATGATAAAACTAATGATCTTTAACTTTATTTGAGGTATCGCTCTAAAATTTAGAATTCATTTATTCTAATTCTGTATAATACTTAGTCTGTTTTGTTTCCAATATAATTTTCATTACATTTGTTTCTTCAAGATTTTTATTTTTTGTTTCTTCTTTAAATTATGAAAACTCATTTTGAGCTTCTTCAGTCTTCTTTTTATCTTCTTCCTTAACAGTTTCAATCATGTCTTCCAATTCTTTTAACTAAATTACATAAAAAATTCATTAATGCCCAATCAATAAAATTTTAATCAGCATCATTAATTAAGGTTTATAATGAAAAAAAAAAAAAAATCAGAATCTATTCAAATTCAAATAGAGTATTATATTATTTAACAAGTTAATGATTGATTAATATTTTTAATAAGTGAATGATGCATAAAGTCTTTTTCTTTATAATATTAGATTTATTACTTAAGTTTTATGAGTCTTAACCATTTCTTCACGCTCAAGATCAAATTCAGTTTCTAGGATGTTAACATCACGGTTGAATTCTTCGGCAAGACCTCTCATTCTTGCTTCTTAGAGTTGCATCAAATTTTCTATATGGATCAAGTGATTACGTAAAGCAATTTAAAATTAATCTTCAGCCTCATCTAAATTTTTATCTAACATCTAAATGAAAGCTTCCTTGGAATCGAGCTCTCTTTAGTTATTTTAACTGTAAATATCAATTTCATTTTTTAATTATTCAGTTTTGGCAATACGCATAATTTTTCTCCAATAAGTAATTAATTTCTTTTTATTGAATGTCACTACTTTTTGTTCATCTTTAATACGTGCTTTAAGTCCTTCACGCTTCATTTTAGCTAACTGCTTCAATTAATCAAATTCTTCTTAATTTTTTGCAAGTTAACGCCATTTAATATTCCTCTTTTGAGGTATTCCACCAGGTCTTGTACTTCTCCCCTTTAAAGTTTTACCAAGTAAAGCCATTTTTTAATATTCAAATTGTGTTCTTGCTAAAAAGATTTTTTATTTCCCTTTTTAAAATTTAACAACTTAATTATTAGTTTGTTTGTTAATGTATTTTTTCTTTAACTCTATCTTCTTGTTTCACTTTTAATTTGTTTGAAATACTGCAAATATAATAAATACGCTAAGATTATGTTACTTTTTTGTGATAAAGAATACTAATAACTCATTTATTATTTTTAAAAAGCATTATTAATATAAATATATAGATAGTATCACTCCATATAATTGATTGAGTCTTGACTTAAGCAAGAAAAGTTTTATTTCTTAACAAGTATTTAAATATAATTTAATTCTTTAATTTATATTTTAATTAAAATAATTATATTTATTTTCTATTTAAAAGATAAATATTATTATGAATGAAATTTATATTATAATTTAAAAATTATTTTTTTATTTAAAATAAAAGTTAATATTTATGAAAAGACTTTATTACTAATTAAAGATTTAATTTAAAAAGGCAACTGTTTTTATATCATTTCACTATTAATAATTTATTGAGTATACATATGATCATAACTAAATATAAAAAACGTTATTTTTATATTGATGTGGTCACAATTCTTTAATCATCTCATTAAAAATATTATTAAATAATTAAATCATGAAGGATAACATTTAAATATGGTAACTCAATTTCTTAATATCAATTACGCTCATAAATTTGAAGTAGTATTTTTGTGATTATCTAACTTATTACATGATATATATGTGTATAAACAAAATTAAATTATCATTTCAGCAAATAGAAATGCTGAAATCAACCTTTTCTATATAAAAGAATAGCTAATTAACCCTCGTAAAAGAATATAAAGTTTTTGCTATCATATGATACATAAGCATTGAAGTGCTTACCTTTATATTAAAAAAAAATTATTAATTTCAAAAAACCTATTTTTAATTTTAAGCTAAGCTATTTTACCAACAACACAATGCCAATTTGGTCCATACTTCTCATCAAAGAATTTCTTTATATGAGATGATATTTTATTTTCAAATTTATAATTTTCAACTGCGAATTTAGCCTTTTTATTATAAAATATATTAGTTTAAATGACTACTCTTGAGTTAAAGATGGCTAATAAAATTAATCTAAACAATATTAAATCCTTTTAAAAATGAAATTTATTTATTTTTATCAATCATTTAGCTATTTACTTAAGAAAAGGCATCATTTTTCATGCTTTTCATTTCTGAATTTTCAGGCATGTCAATAATTTATTCGTTTGCATGATCTCCCATTTTTGATATCCTTTGTAACTTTTATAACCTTAATCTTCCTAATTATTTTAATATTGCTTTGAATTATTTATAATAAAATTTGAAGATATCTCAAATATAAATATTAATTCAAAAACTTATTCAAAAATGAACAAATTCTAAATTAAATATCAATATCATTCTAAAACAAAACATATTTTAACTATTATTTATTTGTCATTTATTGTTTAAATACTAAAATAAAATATATTAATTTTTTATATTAAAAAAATTTTGTTAAGCAATTAAAAAAAGTTAATTTTAAATCTTATAACAATCTCAAATGATTATTAATATTTCAAACATTTTAAACGAATTTTTCATATAAAATTCAATCAGTTAAAAAATAATGGGAACACAAAAATAATTTTAATGTTTAAAGAACACATCGTTTTATTATATATAAAATAAAAATATGTTCATATATTATGAAATTTTTATTCAAAGCTGTTATCATTTTAAAAATTTTTATACCTTCTAGATGTATTTGTTTTATGATTAGAATGAGTTTTTAAATTATAGTTTTAATAGTTATCATTATTTTCTTATGTAATTTAGCTTTATATAGAAGGTTCTTACAATAAACAGTGAGAGTATTTTTATTATTCTTGAATTATTTTATTGTTTTCAGTCATTTTTTAGAAAATTATCTTAGAGTTTTATTAACAAAAATTATCACTGTTTTTATTGAGATTTATTTATTTATAGATATTTTTGACATCACTCTCAGGTTAATTTATTATATAGGATTTAGTATTTTAAATTGATTGAGTAACTGATTTGCTATTTGAATGGTTCTAAGTATCATTAAATTTTTAACTATTCTGGTTCTGATTATGTATTTTATTGAAAACAGAAACAAATTTTCTTCTTGTGACTTAATTTTTAAAAGGTTATTCTATTTGGTTAATTTCATGTTAATTTTTTAAGTTTTAAAAGCCAGACATATTTATGTTTGAATTAATTATCCTTGAATTTTAAATATTTTTATTTATTTAATTTATCTGAGGTAGTTAATAGTGTTAGTTGTTTTAAAGACCATTATTACTTTAAACTATCTATTTGCTTATATTTTAAGCTTCAACTTTAGAAATTGCTTCTTGGTTTTAATAATCTTTTGTAGAACTGTTGCAAATTAGTGTATTTAGACTATGTTTGATTGGAGTAAGATCTTGTTTTGTACTAATCCTGTAATAATTGTTATTATCATTTGATTCATCTAACATTTAAATGTAATTTTGAGTTTCAATTTATTTTAATTAATTACTATTTTAATTTAATGAATAAGCTCTAATATTTCTATTATTTCCACAAGTATTTATTTTTTAAACTGATGAGTTTATTGCACTATTCTAGATCGTATTTTTTTTACTTGAGCTTCTCAAAGTTGTTGTTATTTGAGTAGAGTGTTTTTTGTTTGATTATGTGGTATCTTGGGTATCTCTCTTAGTAGATATAGTATTGAATTTTTCTTTATTTATTAAATTTATGATATCATCATTTACTTTAGATATTTCATTTTTGAATTGCTTCTTTGCTTTATATTTTGCTCTTTCTACAAGCATTTATAGTTCGTATTCTTCTTCATCATCATTTTATGAATCAGCGTATTCAATTTCTTATTCTTCTTAATTTTGTAAAAACTATTTTTAATTATTTTTATAATCATTAATTTCTCTTAGGTAGTATTATTTATTCTCAGATAGTAAATGTACTTCAAAATCTTAATTACTAGCTCGAACATTCTTAGGCGATTAATTATTCTGCTCAAATCTTATATTTTAAATACTATCCAACTAACCACTCTAAGTCAAGAATAATGGAACCTCTGTTTTTTAGATTTAAATATCTTAACTTATATTTTATGTGAGAATGGGATCACTTTATTTATATCTATTAATTTGGTATTTGGGTAGTTTTAACAAACTCTCTAAAATAGAATACTTTTCGCTAACTTTAGCTTTCTAACTAGTTTTAATTTTTTCGAATTATTCAATTATCTATTGTCTTTTTAACTAAAAGTGAATAGAATTCATTAAGTTTTTGAGAGATTTGTTTGGATTCTTTCTATCATTTTCTGTTTATACTTCAAAGTTTTATTGAAAGTTTGGTTTCTCATCACCTCTTCTATTTGTAATTTATTCACATTTTATAGTTTCTTTTTATTTAATATTGAATTTGACATAATCGAGTTCAATATTACTTTTTATTCTGTTAGAATTTATTACTTAATTATCTCTCTCTTAAATGAAGGATCTATTTGTTTTACTGTTATTATTATTTTATCCATTTTATTAATTATATTTTTAACTATTAGCAATCGCTTATTAATTATCTTATTAAAGATTTTCTTGTATATCATTCATACTAGAAAGTTTTATACAAAAAGGGTTTGCTTATAAATGAACAGATTTTACTTTATTTTTAGATTTTTTTTTACTTAATTCATTAACTAGTTTCTACTCTTTATCCTAAGTTTTCAGACATTTTTTAAATTAATCATTCAGAGTTTATGACATCATGATTCTTTCGAAATCATCTAAACCAATTTACTCTTTTTTCTATTAGCCCTTTTTAGAGAGAAGCTCAGTAAGCTGCTTTTTAGAAATATTGACATCATTTTTTTAGAAATATCCACAAACATCTTCAACTAATAATTTTTTATTTTCTTAATTTGTGCTTTCCTTAGATTGATTTCTTGAATCATTAGTTAAATCTTTATATATGTTGATTATTTACTTTGAACTTTCATGATTTTAATCTTAATTCAGAATGTATTCTTCATTAGCTTTACCTAAATACCTTTTTTTCAACCAGTTAATAGTCTCGCTATTCTAAAGCTATTTACTTTTAGAATTTGATTTATGAAATTAATGTAATTAAGAATTATTAGTATGAATATTTTTGTATTGATCCTTTTCAATATTTAGCTCAATAGCTGATTACCTCTAATCAGTTTGTTGAGAGGTTTTAAAGTAGCCTTGCGAAGAATCTACCTACACACTTAATTAGATAGCTCGCATATACCAGTTAAAAATAAATTATAATCTAGATAATCAATTAAATTACTTACTAGATTTATTAATTAAATACTATTAAAATAATAGTTTTAATTCAATTAAATACAGATACGCAAATTAGGCCATAAGTACACATACTTTACTCAAGTATAACAAATATTTACAATTTTTTATCTAAATAATATGTCAAAAATATCAATAATAAATTATAGATTTTATGTCATAAACCTTTCTTAAAATTATAATTGTAAATTTTTATGAAAAGTAATAAAAAATATTTAAAATGATTCCCTATTTCAAAATATTAAAAAATAAAACATTTCTGATCAAAATATGAAGAACTTTAATCAAATCTTATATTTTGGTTATAATCAATAAATTATATTAAATTACGTTTTACATGTTAGAATCAATTACTTTTTTTAAATTCAAATTATTTTGAAGCAGATACTTTTTTAATTATACAAAATATTTGATATTTAATATAAATTTTCTTTTATTTTTGAAAATAGTGTTTATTTATAAAAAAATTAATTATCTTTGCTATTGTTTATCAAAGTATTTTTATCAAAATTTAGATATTTTCTAAATTAGAAATAAATGAATCGTGAGAGTATTTTTATACTTTTACTTTTCAAGCAGTTTTATTACAAAAAATATGCTTTTTATAATTCTTATAAAACAATTAAAAAACAAGTTTATCAGATAACTTTATTAACTAAAGTTATTAAAAAAATATCAAAGTTAGCAAAAAGCTATTATAGAAGAAGAATAAAATTGATATAATTAACAATTAAAGATTATTAAGTAATCTCAAGCAAGGATAATAATTTTAAATTTTGCTTATTGAATTTAAACAATAAAATTTTAGATTAATTATTTTTTATATTTTATTTTAATCAAAAAGAAATAAGTAAAAATAATAATTGTAAAATGGAATGAGGTTATTATTCTAAATTCAAATTTAGATTTAAATAATAACTATTAAAATTCCTAAGACGAGATTTTATGATTAAGTTATTGAAATTTATGTTAATAAATGATATTATTCATTTGTAAACATTCCTTTTTATAAATTTTTTTATTTTTATTTCTAAAGTGTTTTTAAATATCTTTAAATTTTTCTATTACCTCATACATGCTGATTTATCTTTTAATAACAATTAATAAATGAAAATTAAATAATTTATGCTTTTTTAATTGTCACTAATAAAAATCTTCAATTATCAATATTCTTATTAATTAAAATTTCTAAAAGGATTTAATTAAATTCTCTATGTACATTAAAATATTATTCAAAATTGTCTTTATTTAAAAGTAGAATATATAAAATGTAATTTTATTTAATAATTCACTCACTTTAGAATTCTTTTAAAGGGAAGTCTTGTTTTACCATCAAATCAACATAAAAATATTATATTATTTGTTTCTAGAAAAACTTAACAATCACTAATTACATTTACTATTTTACATTAAATTTTCAATTATAAAAATGTATTTTTCTATAACATGAAAGTTGCTAATTAACTTTAACTTAAATATTTGATTAGCTAATAATCTAAACAATTAAATATGAGATATCTTGCATTATCATTGACTAAGGAGCTGATAAATTGTATTTTTTTCTCAAAAATTGAGCTTATAAACAAAAAATTACAAACTGTCAAAATTTATATTATTTTTCATTTTATTACCCCCCCATTTTTTTGTCATATAATATTCTACTTAATTTAATTCATAAATTCACGTAAAACTCATAAAAATATTTAAAGCTAATGGTTACGTGCTGTTTAACAGCAATACTAATGTTTAAAATAGAAAATTGTTTTATGTTAAGGTTTCTAAATATTCTTTTTGCAATATTTATTTGCATTTTTTTTTGACCTTAATTAATCTACAAATTTATTTAATATAAAATTCTAAGAATTAATTTGATTATTTCCTCTCGCAGTTTCTTGAAATTTTTATAGATTTGGTTTCAGTAGAAAGAAATTTTAAATTAAAAAAATATCAAATTTAAAAAGCAAATATTTTTGACTTTAATATAGAGCATTAAATGACAAAAGGATAAAATTATTGGTTATTCTAATAAAAATAAATAAATATTTCTTTCATCAACAAAAGATTACTAAAATATCAATATTTTATATTATATATCTTTTAGAATAAATTACAGTTTTATATAAAAAAATATAATTCAATTTTTGTTTTTCAAATAAAATATAACTAAATATTTTTCATCATTTATTTAAATTAATACCATTTTTTTTAATATTTTTCTTCAACTCTTAAAATAAAATAGTAAGATATAACTTTTATATTAATTATTTTTTGTTATTTTATATATAATTAACCTTTTGGTAATGTTATTTATAAATAGTAGTGAATTGATTAAATATGTGTTATTTCTTTAAAAATGTAAAATTAACTTGAGAAAAATAAAAAAGTAATATTAAATATTAGTGATCGACCAAATAAGACTTTTTTTGATTCGGTCGAATACCGAATAATTTAATGATTTTTATTGACAAATAAATAAAAGATAATTATGGATTCCGCTGTCTTTCCATTTTACTATATATATAATTTTTATCATAAATTCTAAAATTATGATATTTTGATTTTATAATAATTTAACATTCACTAATTGTTTATTTTTTTTTTACCTTAATTTATTTGTTTACAGTCTTTATTAATATATAAAAATATTCTTTTCGATAACATCAAAATTATAGCTTAGTCACTGTGTTTTTAATTATCTTATTCAAAATCCTAAAAATTGAGATTTCAAAAATCCAGATGTTTTTCAAATAAGTTATCTTGTATTTCTCATTATTTACTTTATAATTAAATTGACTTATATTAAGGAACTAAAATATACCATAAGTAATTTTAAATAGAAGTAAGAGGCTTAAAGTCACTTTACATATTTTTAAAACGATTAATAAATAATTCCTTTAATTTATATACAAATTAATAATTAATAAATAAAAAAAGTTGAGAAATATGCCATATTAAAAAATAACTAGATCTACATTTGCTTTTCTTTTGATTGCTCTTTGTGTTTAAGGGCTAAATTGCCCTAATGTTGAAAAATACGACAGTAAAATTGCTTTAGGTATCAAATAATAAATCCTTCATTCATATTTTTATAAATAGACCCTGTAAACTTTTATTAATATTATGTGCAAAACATGAT